TGATCAGTGATTATATTGTGAATAAAGATGTTATTTTACATGCTCAATTTATTAAACAGCTTCCGTTCATGGATTTAGCATCCTCAATTATTTTAAATGCATGCATGTGCCTTATTAATTAGAGATTTCAGGATCAACTATGCTCTAAGATAAAAACATCTCAACCAAACAGCAATGTTATATTTAACACTACCATAGATACCCACATTAACATTATAAAGCTTTAGAAATTATGTTCAAATGTTTTTCTATCGCCCTCTACAGGACAAACTCAAAATAGCAGCATGCAAAAATCTTTGAGGTTTTAGTTTCTATGTTGCTTGTCTTTATTGACCCCAGTGGTTTGTGTAAAATAATTATAATAGCTTCATTTACAATATTTAAATATTTAATATGCATAAATGCCACAATTAGATAATGCATGTTGAAGCTTATATTATATAATATTATTATAAAAAAGCTGAATTTTTTTTTATCATTAACATTACTATTATTACTACTACTAATTATATAATAATAATAATAATAATTTAATGATTGCATATGTATTTAATGAAAACGATATGCTTGGAAAGAAAGAGCTGAGAATTTCTAAAAGTTCTGCATGTATTTTATCAAGTGTTTTCAAGCATAAGAGCTTCACTCGTGACTCTGCTGAATCAGTTTTATGATGCGTATGAACACAGATTTTGACATTTTCAGTAAACAAAATCATCTATCAGAGGAACCAGTTGAACTTTGGTTACATTCGGCTTCTTTGCTTTGCTAATGTGTACTCAAGATTGAAGAATATCACAAAACCTGTCAAGAAATCCTCAATAAATGTTGAATAAATCCACTACTTAAAGAACGACATTATTATCATGACAACTCAGCACCTTGTAAATTCTCATTCAACCAAACAATTGTACATCATTTCAACTATTTCAATAAAACACATTGGCATAAAGACTTAACCATTAAGAATAAAGAAAATTGCAAAAACACCACCAAAAGATCTGAGTTTTACTTCAATAATGGGGTGAAATATGACCAGGGGAAGTTCTTGACAGGTTTTATAATATTCCCACAGACTCCAACAAACATTTCCATGCGTTTTACATGTTTCCATCTGCATACAAGAACTATTAAAGAGACGTTTCACCCTAAAAAAGACCCTGTCTGAATTCTGTTGAACAGAAGTTAAGATATTCTGAAGAATGCTGGAACTACTTCCACAGCATCTTTTGCTTTTGGATGCATGTTTTATTTCCAGCATTCTTCAAACTATCTTGCTTTGTGTTCAACAGAAGAAACTCACAGGTTTGATGAGGAAATGTTCAATTTAGGGCGTGCTGTCTCTTTAAGAGGCTCTTGAATATTCATATCATATTCGTTTGTGTTGTGATGTTGATAAGAACATGGACAGGAGTGTCTGGACGGTTAACAGTAATGCAGTTCAAGCTTCAGCTTCTCTATGAATAAGTGCAATAGAAAACTTCAACCCAATAACCAATCAGAAACTCCCTGAAAATAATAATATGCACAAAATAATGCAGTCGATCAGTCATTCAGAGATGATCCTCGTCCACATACATTCACCACAGAGACTAAACTACAGGCGACTTATTATCTGTATATGCCAAATATTAAACAAAATTCAGAGTCTCATTCTGCCTGTGTTTCATAACAAAGAGCTTCAGCACATTCTCACACACATGCTGGCCTTAAAGAGACAGTACACCCAAAAATGAACATTTAATCATTATTTACTCACATTCAAGAGGTTTCTTTCTTCTGTTGAACATGAGAAGATATTCTGAAGAACACTGGAAGAAACAGTCATACTATTAAAGTCAATGGCTGCTTTTCTCCAGCATTCTTCAAAACATCTTCATTCGTGTTCAGCAGAAGAAACTTAAACAGGTTTGAATATTCATTAGTAAATGATGACAGAATTTGCATTTAAAGGTGAACTGTCCTTTTAAAAGAACTGCCTCAGAACATTGGCTAACCTTCAAGTAACGTAAACAGAACGTTTGTGCAAAGTTATCTGAACTTTAATAATTCTAGAACTGGTTTTGCTGATGTTTTCCTTCACAATGAACTCTTCAGATGTTCAGAAATGATGATTTCATTGGTTTTTGTTTGCTTGGAAATCATCAAGTGTAGTTTGAGTAACATTATGGCAAGGTTCTCTCAAAGTTAATGATAATCTAATGTTCTCTTAAAGGGACAGTTCACCAAAAAAATGAAAAAATGCTCATCATCACCTCAGTCAAGCGGTTGTAAACCTAACAGTTATTTTCTTCTGTTGAACACGAGAGATGTTCTGAAGAATGCTGAAGAAATAGTCACAGACATCCACAATAGAAATAAAAATACTATATTAATCAATGTCTGTTTTTATGACATTATTTAGAGTATCTTAATGTGTGTTCAACAGAAGAAACTCAAACAGGTTTGAATATTCATGAGTAAATGATGACAGAATTTGCATTTAAAGGTGAACTGTCCCTTTAAAAGAACTGCCTCAGAACATTGGCTAACCTTCAAGTAACGTTAACAGAACGTTTGTCCAAAGTTATCTGAACATTAATAATTCTAGAACTGGTTTTGCTGACGTTTTCCTTCACAATGAACTCTTCAGATGTTCAGAAGTGATGATTTCATTGGTTTTTGTTTGCTATATTTGTTATATATTTATTGTTTATAATTTAAGGACTGGTTTTGCTGACCTTTCCATAAAAATGAATTATCTGATTGTTCAGAAATGACAATTTCATAGCTTTTTGTCTGCTTGGAAATCATCAAATGTAGTTTGAGTGACATTAAGGCAAGGTTCTCTCAAAGTTAATGATAATCTAATGTTCTCTTAAAGCAGGGGTGGGCAAACTCAAGTCCTGGAGGGCCGGTGTGTTGCACAGTTTAGCTCCAACCCTAATCAAACACACCTGCTTGAAGATTTCTATTGATCTTGAAGACACTGATTAGCATGTTCAGGTGTGTTTGATTAGTGTTTGCCCACCCCTGTCTTAAAGGGACAGTTCACTTAAAATGAAATTCTGCTTATTTCCTCACAGTCAAGTGGATGTAAACTTTCAGGATTTCTTTCTTCTGTTGAACACAAAGACAAGATATTCTGAAGAATGCTGCAAAAAACAACAATTGACTTTCAAAGTAGAAACAAAAACAATATATAAATCAATGGCTGCTTTTCCAGCATTCTTCAGAATATCTCCGTGTTCAACAGGAAAAACTTAAACAGGTTTGAATATTCATGAGTAAATGATGACAGAATTTACATTTAAAGCTGAACTGTCCCTTTAAAAGAACTGCCTCAGAACGTTGGCTAACCTTCAAGTAACGTTAACCGAACGTTCGTACAAAGATTTCTAATCTTTACTAATTTAAGGACTTTAAAAAAGAAAAAAATATATTTGAATGTTCAGAATGTTATGGCAAGGTTCTCTCAAAGTTAATGACAAAACGTAATGTTCTCTTAAAGAAACGGTTCACCAACAAATTAAAGATTTATCGTTTCCTCACACTCGAGCAGATGTAAACGTGTATGAGTTCTTTCTTCTGTTAAACACAAGATAAGATATTCTGAAGAATCCTGAAAATAAAACAGTCATTGATATCCATAACAGAAACAAAAACAATATATAAAGTCAATGGCTGCTTTTCTAGCATTCTTCAGAATATCTTCATGTGTTCGACAGAAAAACCTAAACAGATTTGAATATTCATGAGTAAATGAAAAAACTGAATTTAGATTTAAAGGTCAACTGTCCCTTCAAAAGAATGGCCTCAGAACATTAGCTAACCTTCAAGTAACGTTAACAGAACGTTTGTACAAAGATTTATAATCTTTAATAAATCAAGAACTGTTCTTCTGACATTTCCATAAAAATGAACTCTTCAGATGTTCAGAAATGATGATTTCACAGCTTTTTGTCTGCTTAGAAATCACCAAATGACGTTTGAGTATTGTTATGGCAAGGTTCTCTCATTATAACATGTAATGTTCTCTTAAAGCACAGGTGTCAAACTCAGTTCCTGGAGGGCTGCAGCTCTGCACAGTTTAGTTCCAACCCTAATTAAACACACCTGATCAAACTAATTGAGTCCTTCAGGGTTGTTTGAAACCTACAAGTAAGTGTGTTGGAGCAGGGTTGGAACTAAACTGTGCAGGGCTGTGGCCCTCCAGGAATTGAGTTTGACACCCCTGTCTTAAAGGGACAGTCCACCAAAAAATGAAAAGTGATCATTTCCTCACACACAAGTGGATGTAACATGTGTGATTTATTCCTTCTGTTGAACACAAGAGCAAGATATTCTGAAGAATGCAGGAAGAAACAACAACACTATAGAGCTCAATGGTTGATTTTTCCTGCAATTTTCAGTCTTCAATTGTGTGCAAATGACGACAGTATTTTCATTTTTTGGCTGAACTGTCCCTTTAATGCAGGGGTGTCCAAACTCTGTCCTGGAGAGTGTTTCTCCAACTTGCTTCAACACACCTGCCTGGAAGTATCTAGTACAGGGACTTAGACCTCAATTCCTGGAGGGCCGCAGCCCTGCACAGTTTAGTTCCAACCCTGCTCCAACACACTTACCTGTAGCTTTCAAACAAGCCTGAAGGACTCAATTAGTTTGATCAGGTGTGTTTAATTAGTGTTGGAACTAAACTGTGCAGAACTGCGGCCCTCCAGGAATTAAGTTTGACATCCCTGATCTTGTATATCTAGTAAGAGCTTGATCAGCAGGTTCAGGTGTGTTTGATTAGGGTTGGAGCTAAACTCTCCAGGACAGAGCCTGGACACCCCAGCTTTAAAGTCATTCTTTGGCAATTGCTGCATCTCACTTCAACACTTCACACAATAACAGTGTTATGATCAACTGCGTACAGATCGTCTGTCTGGGTTATTTTTTTCTGTCTTCACCCTCATGAATCTCATCCCCAAATACAGCCATTTAGAAGTTATGCTGTGCTATAAACACATATTTTTCTGTCGCACTGACCAAATACGCTGTTTATTAATCAATGCAAGCGTGCATTCATGAAGCCAGCCAATCAGATTAGAGCTCGTCAGATTAAGAATGCTCTGTGTTTCTGCATGTGTGTGTGTGTGTGTGTGTGTGTATAGAGTTATGCACAGAAAGATTTAATGACAATCAGCCAATCTTTAACTCCCAAACTGAACTGAAGGCTTAAAATAACTCAAGTTAAATCAGCATATTTTAAGGTCATCATAAGGAAAATGTTGCATTTGATTAAACAATGTATGCAATAAATGTTATGCTTATGTTTTTAATGAACCAATAAAGCAAGAAAGAGCCTCTGCTTGTGTTTGAGTGGAAACCGATTGATTCTGCTCATGTTTTAAGGGTTAATCTGATGACCGAATGTTCAATTCTTTTACAAACAGTTTTGTTTTCTGGCTGAAGTATGCTCTTACTCTTATTCTGCTTGTTTCAGGGTCATTCTTAAAAGGACAGTACACCTAAAAAGGAAAATTCAGTCAATTACAAACCCTAAAGTGGATCCAAACTTGTACTGTGTTTCACAAAAGAAGATACTTTGAAGAATGTTAAAAACCACAGACATCCATAGTAGGAAAAAATAAATCAAATGTCTATTTTTCCATCATACTTCAAACTATCTTATCACCAAAAAAAACAACAAATCAGTTTAGGAGCAATTTCATTTTTAGATGAACTGTCTCTTTAAGAAAACTAGTGCAACTCTGTTTACACAAACACTGCTTCCTTTCTCGCAGGAAGTCGCTCTGCTTGTTTTAGTATAAATAAGGCATGGAGGAAAGCAGTGAAGAGATGAACGAAAGACTGGACAGCAACTCTCGCTGTATTCACTGTCATATTCAGACGGCCAGCTTGTTGGCGATGGTCATGAGCACTTTGAGGACGGGCATGAAGGCCGAGATCTCGCTGAAGTTGCTGCTGCTCACCACCTGCGTGTGCACCTCCAGACCTTGCACATAGCTGCGTGCGCTAACACACCGGCTAATCTCGTGGAGACCGCCGAGGATGCTGGGAGAAAGCTGAGGAAGGGGAGAGAGACAGCACTGTTAGTGGCCATTCACACTGATGTAGTGCTTTTGCATTGTATTTCCATGCGAACACACTCTTGATGTACATTAGTGCTGCATGATGCATCGTTTCAGCATTGATATTCCAAAGTGTGCATTTGCAATAGTCATCCCTTCACACAGATGTAGTGCTCTTGCCTTCCATTGCACTACTTTTGCGTCGTTGCTCAATGCAAAAACCCTCTTGATGTGCATTCAATATTATTTCGGCACTGATATTGCAATGTGTGCATTGGCAATCGTCCCCTTACATGATGTGCAATGTTGAGTCAGGATTACAGCTGACCTGAAGCCTCAGTTATGAACACATCAGACTTGTGGAGCCATTGCAAAGTTTAATCATGCAGTGAAAGGTCATCATTTGAGAGGGATTTTGAGGTCTGTGACCATATGAGGATTTCAGGAGAGTTTAAAGCATTCAGGCACTAGAAACCGTACCTGTGATAATCAGAAGATCTCTGCGGTGGGGCATGCACTGCACGTCTCTGTTTAGCAATTAGCCAGTGTGCATGACAACGGTTTATTTTAATGGCAAGCACCTTTTATTTAGACACGAGTAGATTCCTCTGACTCACCGATTGATCTCGCAGTTTGTCATACAGATTCTCGAGACGTTTGGAGGCGTCATCAAGCTTGCGTTTCGTTTGCTGAAACAAAAGTTCATATTTTAGTTCAGTTTTCATATGAGATAAAGAAAATAACCAGAACCATGGGTACTTTATAACAACATACACAAATATAATGTCATGGAAAAGTATGCACTGTCATCATAGCAAAGACAAAATGCACTCACTGGCCACTTTATTAGGTACACCTTACTATTCAGAACTGCCTTCATCCTTCATGGCAGAGATTCATCAAGCTGCTGGAAATATTCCTCAGAGATTTTGCTCCATATTGTCATGATAGCATCACACAGTTGCTGCAGATTTGTCGGCTGCACATCCATGATGCCAATCTCCCGTTCCACCACATCCCAAAGCTGCTCTATTGGATTGAGCTCTGGTGACTGTGGAGGCCATTTGAGTACAGTGAACTCATCGTCATGTTCAAGACACCAGTCTGAGATGATTGAGCTTTATGACATGCTGCGTTATCCTGCTGGAAGTAGCCATCAGAAGATGGAGACACTGTGCTCATAAAGGGATGGACATGGTCAGCAGCAATACTCAGGTAGGCTGTGGCGTTGATGCTCAATTGGTACTAATGGACCCAAAGAAAATCTCCCCCACACCATTACACCACCACCACCAGCCTGAACCGCTGATACAAGGCAGGATGATCCATGCTTTCATGTTGTTGAGGCCAAATTGTGAGCCGAGCATCCGAATGTGTGAGCAGAAATGGAGACTCATCAGAGCAGCAACGTTTCTCCAATCTTCTATTGTCCAGTTTTGGTGAGTCTGTGTGAATTGTAGCCTCAGTTTCCTGTTCTTAGCTGACAGGAGCGGCACCCGGTGTGCTCTTCTGCTGCTGTAGCCCATCCGCCTCAAGGTTGGCCGTGTTGTGTGTTCAGAGATGCTCTTCTGCAGAGCTCGGTTGTAACGAGTGCTTATTTGAGTTACTGTTGCCTTTCTATCAGCTGGAACCAGTCTGGCCATTCTCCTCTGACCTCATCAACAAGACATTTGCGCCCACAGAACTGCCGCCTTCACCTGATGTCTACATGCCTAAATGCATTAAGTTGCTGCCATCTGATTGGCTGATTAGAAATTTGCATTAACCAGCAGTTGGACAGGTGTACCTAATAAAGTGGCCGGTGAGTGTAAGTTAATAAAATTAAGTTAATACAAATATTATGTTCAAAAATGTGTCAAAATATACTATATTATATATTTCTATGATACATTTGTGCATGTGGGTCATTTTTGTTACTACACATTATTTGTGCATGTGATTTCAGCTTCATGCATGTAGATTTCATGTTCTTGTGCATGAATAATTATTGAGGCTGATGTATCTCCCTTAAGTGTTACCGGGTCTGCGGCGGCCAGCTGACAGCGCTGCACCAGACTGCTGAAGGTGGTCTTCAGGATCATGTGTTCGGCTGGGATTTCTTTCTGCTCCACACGCTCGGCAGGAAGCTGCTGTATGGACTAACACACAACACACAGGTGGAGTTAAACACTGCTTGAAGCTCAAGTTGCCAAGACATTTCAGCATGTTGATGTACTTCTAACCGAAATAGAATATTGAGCAGGGGGCGGGGCTTTCTTGTTGTATATGATTCCCTCATATAGCAAACTAACAGAAAGAGGGGCGTGGTTAAGGATATTAATATGCAGTTGCTATGGAAACCCTTATGCCACTCCCAACACAGCAGCAGATGCTCAGACTGAAGCCCAGATTAATGGGCTCTGTGCACAGCTAGTGTTTTCCAGCCCCTGATCTGATCTCAGACCTGTGCTGTACAATAGTGTGCTCTGCTGATCTGATCTCAGACCTGTTCTGTAGAATAGTGTGCTCTGCTGATCTGATCTCAGACCTGTTCTGTAGAATAGTGTGCTCTGCTGATCTGATCTCAGACCTGTACTATAGAATAGTGTGCTCTACTGATCTGATCTCAGACCTGTTCTATAGAATAGTGTGCTCTGCTGATCTGATCTCATACCTGTTCTATAGAATAGTGTGCTCTGCTGATCTGATCTCAGACCTGTGCTGTAGAATAGTGTGCTCTGCTGATCTGATCTCAGACCTGTTCTATAGAATAGTGTGCTCTGCTGATCTGATCTCAGACCTGTATTGTAGAATAGTGTGCTCTGCTGATCTGATCTCAGACCTGTACTGTAGAATAGTGTGCTCTGCTGATCTGATCTCAGACCTGTTCTGTACAATAGTGTGCTCTGCTGATCTCAGACCTGTGCTGTAGAATAGTGTGCTCTGCTGATCTCAGACCTGTGCTGTAGAATAGTGTGCTCTGCTGATCTGATCTCAGACCTGTTCTGTAGAATAGTGTGCTCTGCTGATCTGATCTCAGACCTGTGCTGTAGAATAGTGTGCTCTGCTGATCTCAGACCTGTGCTGTAGAATAGTGTGCTCTGCTGATCTGATCTCAGACCTGTGCTGTAGAATAGTGTGCTCTGCTGATCTGATCTCAGACCTGTGCTGTAGAATAGTGTGCTCTGCTGATCTGATTTCAGACCTGTGCTGTACAATAGTGTGCTCTGCTGATCTGATCTCAGGCCTGTGCTGTAGAATAGTGTGATCTGCTGATCTGATCTCAGACCTGTACTGTAGAATAGTGTGCTCTGCTGATCTGATCTCAGACCTGTTCTGTAGAATAGTGTGATCTGCTGATCTGATTTCAGACCTGTACTGTAGAATAGTGTGCTCTGCTGATCTGATCTCAGACCTGTGCTGTACAATAGTGTGCTCTGCTGATCTGATCTCAGGCCTGTGCTGTAGAATAGTGTGCTCTGCTGATCTGATCTCAGACCTGTGCTGTACAATAGTGTGCTCTGCTGATCTCAGACCTGTATTGTAGAATAGTGTGCTCTGCTGATCTGATCTCAGACCTGTTCTATAGAATAGTGTGCTCTGCTGATCTGATCTCAGACCTGTATTGTAGAATAGTGTGCTCTGCTGATCTGATCTCAGACCTGTACTGTACAATAGTGTGCTCGGCTGATCTGATCTCAGACCTGTACTATAGAATTGTGTGCTCTGCTGATCTGATCTCAGACCTGTACTATAGAATAGTGTGCTCTACTGATCTGATCTCAGACCTGTGCTGTAGAATAGTGTGCTTTGCTGATCTGATCTCAGACCTGTTCTATAGAATAGTGTGCTCTGCTGATCTGATCTCAGACCTGTTCTATAGAATAGTGTGCTCTGCTGATCTGATCTCAGACCTGTTCTGTAGAATAGTGTGCTCTGCTGATCTGATCTCAGACCTGTACTGTACAATAGTGTGCTCGGCTGATCTGATCTCAGACCTGTACTATAGAATTGTGTGCTCTGCTGATCTGATCTCAGACCTGTACTATAGAATAGTGTGCTCTACTGATCTGATCTCAGACCTGTGCTGTAGAATAGTGTGCTTTGCTGATCTGATCTCAGACCTGTTCTATAGAATAGTGTGCTCTGCTGATCTGATCTCAGACCTGTTCTATAGACAAGTGTGCTCTGCTGATCTGATCTCAGACCTGTTCTGTAGAATAGTGTGCTCTGCTGATCTCAGACCTGTGCTGTAGAATAGTGTGCTCTGCTGATCTGATCTCAGACCTGTGCTGTAGAATAGTGTGCTCTGCTGATCTGATCTCAGACCTGTGCTGTAGAATAGTGTGCTCTGCTGATCTGATCTCAGACCTGTATGCTGGGCTCCTGAGGGGCTCCGGGTGGCACCTGCACACGATCCTGAAGCACTGGAGCCTCCGCTGGGAAACCCATCACTGGAGCTGTAATCGGTGCTGGAGGAGTGTAGTTCTCTGGCAGCTTGACAACACACACACACACACACAAGACACACATGGTCAGTCACACACAAAAACGCACACACAAACAAACACATACACACAGTCACAAGAACACACATTTAGTTCACTCATTGCATTTTGGATGAGTTATATTGCATTTTTTTTTACCATTTACATCATTAAATAGCATTAATAATCAAAAAAGGAAAATCAAAATCATATTTTACACCTGTCGTTTAGAAAAATTTATATAAAACTTTAAAAAAATGTGTATAATAACTGGAGTTTATTGATAAAATGCTCATTAAGATGACCTTCAATGAATCGCTGATGCCTTAAGCCAGTGGTTCTCAAACTGTGGTTCTTGTACCACTAGTGGTACGCAGGCTTCCTTCTAGTGGTACGCAGAGGAATGAAATATGCCATGTACATGCTACACACATTTCAATATTTTTCAAAATAGATGTATATAATATGCCATATATGACATATAGCCTATATTTCTGATGTAATATGCCACATTTTTTTAACTTTGCAGAGTTGTAGCTGCTTTACTGGGCCTACTGCGCTACTCTATTTCAATACTGCTCATTTTGGTGGTACTTGCAGAGACAATTTTTTTCTGAGGTGGTACTTGATGAAAAAACTTTGCGAACCACTGCCTTAAGCACTAAAAACTGTACCTTTTTCTTGCGCTGTCCTGCACGCACAGCCGGAGGGTCATTCCATCCATCCTGAGCCCCTGAGGAGAGAAAATGTACACAAATCAACAAAACGACACATGCAAACACACAGAATCAGGTCTGGACACTTCAGGGACACACTTATAAATGAAATATCACACTAATTCTCACATTTATAACAGAGAAATGTGAACTAAAACCCTTCAATCAACACATCTGGCAGACTGAAGATCTGAAATACTAAAAGCACAAAAACTGAAGCAATGATTGAAGAGTCTGCAGATTCTCCTGTCTGTGTACTAGCATTTAAATGTTTGGGGTCTGTGTGTGTGTGTGTGTTTTAAAGAAATCAATATTTACACTTTGCAAAACCATTGAATTAATTAAATGCTCTTTTGTATTCACTTACTTCAAAGGTGCAGTGTGTAAGTTTTACACCAAGTGGTTGAACTAGGTATTGCACTCCTGGATCAAAACAAACGCAAGCGCAGGTTGCCAGATTGAGGACCAACAGGACTGAGTCTGACGATCGAGCCTAAAGGCTGATATAAATTGTCCTCTAAATAAAAGCAAACGGCACACGACAGAAGGAGTATTCTCCATATTACAAGGAGCTTTTTTCCTAACAACACCAAAAATTGACATATCAGAAACGGCTTCTGTTTCAGCTGAACAACAGAAAACTGGCAATGCTCAGCTCAGGTACAGCTCATGTGATTTATTCAGTGTGAAATGCCAATAATGTGAGTCTCACATGACATTTATTACCACACTACTGAAAGCAGCAGCAGATAGTTCAGCTCAGATCTGGAGAATAAAATAAAGCGTCTGAATTCTAGAACTGAGACTCAAACCAACACATATCAGTGATTCAGCATCTACATTTAATCTTGTTAAAGAGCTTTAATAGGTGTTCATTAGATGATAAACATCACCATTTCATGAGAGAGTGCATATTCTGCTCTGCTGAATGACTGTCGTGTTTTGTCTGCTGCAAACAGCCCAATTGCTCATCACTGCGGATCTCGTCATGTAGCGTGTTGTTAGGGCACGGGGTTACACTGTGACCAGGGGCCTGTTTCAGTAAGGAGGTTCAACCAACTCTGAGTTTAAACTTGAACTCTGAGTTGATTTGCAGAGAGATTAAAAACTCTGAGTTTTCGGTTTCAGAATAGCTGATCTGAGTTGGGTCAATCAACTTTGAGTAGACCAACTCAGAGTTAAGCGCGCGCACCGTGACTATAAAAAGACATTATCAACGGAGCCCAGATTTTACGAGTGAACATGGGAACATCTGAAAAAAAGAGATCAGCATTTCTTTCTCCAGCTGAACTTGATCAGCTCATGCAGAGTTAAGGCTGATTTATACTTCTGCGTCAAGCGCACGCATATGCTACGGCGCTGACGCATAGCCCTTCACCGTGGCTGTCGGCGTCGCTGTCGTGCACCTCTCAAAAATTGTAACTACACGTCGCAGCGATGAGTAGCGCAAGCTCTGTGATTGGTCGGCTTGGTAGCGCTGACGAGTCTGGGCGGGACAGAGAGCCGCGCGAATGGCGCTAGCCCAATGGAACGATTGTTTACAAGTGTGGAGTCCCGTGAAGGAGCTCCAGATGGAAAGTTTTGTTCTGTGTTTACCTCATAGTTAAAGTTGTTGCACGTCCGCCGGTTCCTGCCTCAAAATGAGCGAGTTTGAGCCACTTGTACATCCAGGAAGTGTTCAGGAAAAGCAAAACAGCAGCGAAGAAACTCGACACAGAGGAACATTTACACCTCACTGCCAACTAGCGTTTCGGAAGTGTTAATGCAGACCAACAGAGACAGCAGCAGAAGTATAAATGCACAGCTACGCGCGTTGCCTGCGCCGTGAGTTACGCCGGTCACTTGACGCAGAATTATAAACCAGGCTTTATAGCAAATATGAGCGTATATTTTGAAAAGCAACACCACTGCATCAGTGAAACAGAGACAGTTAGTGTGGAAAAACATACAGTAGCTGCTTAAGTTAATGCCTAATATTACATTTAAAGTATTTAAATATAATGTTATGTGTGACGTTTATAAAATCTTTACACACAGCCCCACTTTTATACACGTTGCTCAGTTTTAATAGATGTAAAAGTGCACTTGTGTGTCTGCCTCTATTATTGATCAAGTGATAGAGGCTGATATGACATTAAGAGTGTAAGCACAACTAAACAATAGTTTTAGAAAGAATAATAATCCTAATTAATCTACATGTCCCTGTTGAAGGTCAGTGAATTTAAGCTTTATTTATTAAAAAAGGACAAGCCATTCTCCTATGTGACTGTTCTTTGTGTGACTAATGTAGGCAATAGCTGTTTCCATCCAAATATATTAATTAAATTTATGTGCAAAACTGGAATAACGCATAAAAGACGTGCGAATTAAGCAGCGTTTCCATCCAACGAGTCAAAGAGAATAATATTGTCAATTCCTGATTAAACAGGCACCAAATATCAACAGTAAAACCAGAATTTACTTGGGTAGAAGAAGCTGCGTCAATCTTTTCTTTATTTAATAAATGTACTTGCGCCTCAGAAAACAATGCTGACACACAATGAACCTATGGGGGTGTTTGAAACCATGAGACGCGGAGAACAGACGCTCTTGACATGCTCCAGACGTCATTAATAATATAATAACATAGATACTGAAATGGTTAAGGCTTTTTAGAATCAATGAGCAAAACAACATGTCAGATGTGTTACAGTGAGCTCAGCCTGCTGGTTTGTCCAGTCACACACTTCATCATCAGCATATGATCTCTTATAACAAACCTTTTTTTTTTAATGCACATACTGTAATTTGTTCAGTAAAAGTGTTTCCACCGCAGTTTAAGCACATCTTTTTTATCGAATAAAAGTTTATCCTACATTATGATGTTTCCGTCAATCGTTTTTATGCGCATCTCTAAAATGAGCATTAGAATAGGGTATATGCCGAGCTAGTGCTGTTCACATGCTGATACACTTCCGGTGAGCTGTTATTGTGAACTTTTTTCCATTTTATACGGTTCCTTATACAGCATCGATGCTGTAATGTCATTAAAATACATTTAGTTAAATAAACTTTAGCATTTATTTGGTCGCTCAAGCGTAAAACGAGACAAAAAGCTGTTTATTCGCACGCGCCCATCAGAATCGGCAGGCTAACGCAGAAGCTCCATTGAATATACTGGGGTAAAATAAATACTCATATTATAAAGATAAGGCGGGGGAAATGTCATTTAATGCAGTGCTTCTTGTACAATCTGAGACCCACTCTATATCAGATATCACTCAGCTAGTGGAGATCGCTGATTTTTAAAGAAAACAGACCTTAAACGCACCGGATTTTGCATTGGCATTCAATTCGCCGGAAGCGCTCAACCCAGGTTACTGGCAAATTAAAAGTCCTATTAGCATGCTTCGGCATATACCTCATAGGTGGGTGGAAACGTAAGGCTCAGGCGAGAAATACCTCTTCGCTTTTGAAAAAGGGGAGAAGACCGACAGAAACTCAGAGTTTAGAGAATAAACCCTGCTCCTGACCAGGTTAGATTCACAGAGTAAGCTACCATAGCAACTGACTCTGAGTTAAAGTTACCTCTCTTTCAGAAACAGGCTCGACTTACCCTGCTTTCTCGAGTTTGACAAACCTGCCATTTTGAAATGGAAAACCCAGAGTTTCTCTCATTTCAGGGTTAAACTACTCTGAGTTTTCACTTAACCTCCTTTCTGAAACAGGCCCCTGCTCACCTAATGTTTACAATTGTAATATTTATATTATCTGCTCATTAATAACCTCATGTGGAACTCTGAATCTGCTTCTCATTTCAGAGTCTGTCCACCAGAGGGCGCATTTTGGTCACGAGCGCATGCTTTGAGAGCCTTCATGATTGAATGAATAAAATACGCTGTTTTCCACCATCTGGCAACCCGGGGTGCTGAAACATAATTGGCTAAACTGGCACTGGGCGGGTTAAATAAAACAAAGACAGCCGTTCACATAACCCAGAATATCTGACTTCAGCATTGTTTATCAGATTAACAAGAATGTTCACTGAGCATGATTCTGAATATCTGCACACATATGATGCTGTTTATATGCTTTAGAAGAGTCAGAAACTCACACACAGCACCTTTAACAAACAAAACTAAAAATTGTGTATTCTTATGACCACAAACTGTGGAACGCCAGCATAACATTTTTAGTTTAATTTGTTTGTCATGAAATGATGCAACAGTCACACAGCAAACACCCAGTCAGAGGTCAAACAAACATCATTACCCATGAAGCTCTACATCAGGGGTGTCCAATCACAGTCCTGGAGGGCCGGTGTCCTGCAGATTTTAGCTCCAACTAGCCTCAACACACCTGCAAGGATGTTTCTAGAAGGCCTAGTAAGAGCTTGATTAGCTAGCCCAGGTGTGTCTGATTGGGGTTGGAACTAAACTTTGTAGGACACCGACCCTGCTCTACATGATCAGCCTGTTTAAATTCTCACACACACACACACACACAAATCAGCAGCAGCAGTCAGTATTAGATATTAGAAGAGACATGAGTGTTTAGCCTGTTGCTTTGCATTGGAACGCACACTTCAATGACAAACAAACAAACAAACAAACAAACACACACACACACACACACCTCTACTTGGACAGAATTCCTCATTTCAGATTGAGTGTGGTGATTTTATAAGTGAGTTGATCATGTTTAAAATACAACTGATTACAAACACAGCAGAGCAAAGAAAACAGGGAAACAAAGTTTTTAAACTGCTGAAATGACCGAGCTGCAGGCCTGAAAGACACGAGGAACTGATGAAATGATGAACTTTCCCTCTGCTTTTGGGTAAACTCTGCTGTGATGCCAGAGATTGGATGTTTTCTGAGCTGAGCTATGCAGGATGTGCAATCTGGAGTCTGGATTATAGTTGAGCAGACTATTGCACATTCACAAACACACACACACACACAGCGCAATACTGAGGATGCTGAAATGATTAATGGAGCAGCCCTACAGACAACCAAACAAACAAACACCACACACACACACACACACATAGACAAACACTGTATAGACAAACACCACATACACGCATACATAAACACCACATACACAAACACACATACACAAACACCACATGGACAAACACTATATAGACAAACACACACACACAAACACCACATAGACAAACAAACATACACCACATAGACAATCACCACAGACAAACACTATATAGACAAACACACATACACAAACACCACATAGACAAACAAACATACACCACATAGACAATCACCACAGACAAACACTATATAGACAAACACATACACAAACACCACATGGACAAACACTATATAGACAAACACACACACACAAACACCACATAGACAAACAAACATACACCACATAGACAATCACCACAGACAAACACTATATAGACAAACACACATACACAAACACCACATAGACAAACAAACATACACCACATAGACAATCACCACAGACAAACACTATATAGACAAACACATACACAAACACCACATGGACAAACACTATATAGACAAACACACATACACAAACACCACATAGACAAACAAACATACACCACATAGGCAATCACCACAGACAAACACTATATAGACAAACACACATACACAAACACCACATGGACAAACACTATATAGACAAACACATATACACAAACACCACATAGACAAACAAACATACACCACATAGGCAATCACCACAGACAAACACTATATAGACAAACACACATACACAAACACCACATACACACATACACAAACACTATATAGACCAGTGGTCACCAAACTTGTTCCTGGAGGGCCGGTGTCCTGCAGATTTTAGCTCCAACCCTAATCAAACACACCTGAACAAGCTAATCAAGCTCTTACAAGGTATACTTGATACTGAGGCAAGTTGGAGCTAAACCCTGCAGGGACACCGGCCCTCCAGGACCGAGATTGGAGACCCCTGATATAGACAAACACACATACACAAACGCACATACACAAAGACCACAGACAAACACCACACACATAAACACACATACACAAATACACAAACACACTGAAATTATATATTGTGCAGGCCTACAAACACCCACACACATGCTCTAAAGCTTTTGAACACGCACACATACAAAAACACAAACACACACGCATGCATGCATGCACACACATCATCCCACAAATACGCATACACACTTACACACACACACACTTACACACACACACACACACACACACACACACACACACACACACACACACACACACACACACACACACACACACACACGCACACACACACACGCATCTCTCTCCCTGTCACCTTCCTCTTGTGTCTGGTAAGTCAGCCATGGGAAATATCCTGCAAATCAAACAGCAGGAACAATCTAAACACACCTCTCCATCACACACACACTTCAGTGAGAACTTCTCACACGTTGCCCTCATTAATCCCCCTCATCATTGATTCTGCTCATATCCCTCAAATATCTGAAAGACTTCACAGGAGGGTCAATCATGTTTCCCTCTGCTGTATATGAGGAGGATCGAATCATTACGCAACACAATGAAAGCATCCCTGGTGATCAGAAGAGGCTAAAACACACATGCTGGATATTTCTGTACCTGAGGGTGGCGGAGGGACGGGGGCCCCGCTGAAGCTCTTGGCTGCAGGAGCTCCGGGGCCACCCTGTGGATACCCGGCGGCCCCCAGAGACGGATACGCCCCGGTGGGAGGAGGAGCGGGGCCCTGTGTGTGCGCAGATCCTGGAAACCTCGGCCCGCCGGGGAGAGACGTGGGCGAGAGGAAGCCTGGAGCTGGAGGAGTGGGCATCATCATGGGAACACCAGCGGGCATCATGGGGCCCGGAGGAGACGAGGGCGGCATTGAGGGACCCGCCAGGCTGGAGGAGGGCATCTGAGGAGTGAAGAAACCACCAGGAGCACCCTGAGGAGCGGCCGGAGGAAACGGATGAAAACCTGCAGGAACACAACAGCTCGACATTTAGGATCAGAGTGTGTGTGTGTGTGTGTGTGTGTGTGTGTGTGTGTGTGTGTGTGTGTGTGTGTGTGTGTGTGTGCGTGTGCGCATTTAACAGTAATGACCACACACATGTGGAGATTTCTCTGCATTATAGACCCTTAAGCGGCAGATTACGATGGACAAGGCTTGAAACTTCAAGTTTGATTTATATAGCCTCAGCTGGGTCAGTTGGTGTTTCTGTGTGGAGTTTGCATGTTCTCCCCGTGTTGGCATGGGTTTCCGCCGGGTGCTCCGGTTTCCCCCACAGTCCAAAAAAATGTGGTACAGGTGAATTGGGTAGACTAAATCGTCCATAGTGTATGTGTATGAGTGTGTAAGTTGGTGGTTCATTGCGCTGTGGTGAACCCATATTAATAAAGGGACTAAGCCGAAAAAAAAAGAATGAATAAATGAAGTAAATGAAGTTACCGTTGGTTTTGTTTGACCGCCTCCTGTCGTTTTAAAGAATATATCTCAACAGTGATGTGTGTCTGAGTATGGACCATTACCTGGGGCTGTAGCAGGGTGTTGTGTGTATGCTGGTCTGGGTGTGTGTGTTGTTGCTCCAGCAGGAGGTTCGGGGCCGGTCTGAGGACTGAAGAGACGTGGCATCTGAGGGGCCCCCGAGGACGGGTATGGCGCCTGAACACACACACACACACACACACACACACACACACACACACACACACACACACACACACACACACACACACGCACACACGGGCACACGCGCACACACATTACAACACAGCAATGGCTGCATCACTGTTTAAACATTGCATATTACAATCCAAATAAACCCCAAAATATTTCTGTGTTTGCAGACTTCTGATTCAAATGCCAGAGTAAATAGAAATCATGTAAGAAAAGATGTTAAAAGGTAAAACTATCTGAGATTTTTATAAAAAAAATCACTGTAACATTACTTATTATTAATTATTATTTATTAATGTACCATAATTGTTTTACACAAAATGATATAACTATTACATAGTTTTTAATGTCTTATAAATACTACATTAAAAACTTACTGTATTATTTTTTTTTTTCTAGGCCAAAACTTGAACCCTTAAAAAAAAGACACTATATAGCTCGCAAAAACTAAAAGAAAGAAATGTCATAAATAAATGTAGAACTTTATGATAATTATAGAAAATTAAACAAGAAAATGTTTTGCCTTGCAGCATCTGAAATACAGCTTATGTACTAAAATGAATTAATGAAAATATTACTGTGAAATAGCTGAAATACAAAACTAATATACACACTTACCGGCCACTTTATTAGGTACACCTGTCCAACTGCTGGTTAATGCAAAATGTCTAATCAGCCAATCACATGGCAGCAGCTCACTGCATTTAGGCATGGTGAAGAGGATCTGCTGCAGTTCAGAGTGAGCATCAGAATGGGGAAGAAAGGGGATTTAAGAGACTTTGAATGTGGCATGGTTGTTGCTGCCAGACGGGCTGCTCTGAGTATTTCAGAAACTGCTGATCTACTGGGATTTTCACGCACAACCATCTCTAGGGTTTACAGAGAATGCTCCGACAAAGAGGAAATATCCAGTGAGCGGCAGTTCTGTGAGCGCAGATGCCTTGTTGATGAGGCCAGAGGAGAATGGCCAGACTGGTTCCAGCTGATAGAAAGGCAACAGTAACTCAAATAAGCACTCGTTACAACCGAGCTCTGCAGAAGAGCATCTCTGAACACACAACACGTCCAACCTTGAGGCGGATGGGCTACAGCAGCAGAAGAGCACACCGGGTGCCGCTCCTGTCAGCTAAGAACAGGAAACTGAGGCTTCAATTCACACAGACTCACCAAAACTGGACAATAGAAGATTGGAGAAACGTTGCTGCTCTGATGAGTCTCCATTTCTGCTCACACATTCGGATGCTCGGCTCACAATTTGGCCTCAACAACATGAAAGCATGGATCATCCTGCCTTGTATCAGCGGTTCAGGCTGGTGGTGGTGGTGTAATGGTGTGGGGGAGATTTTCTTTGGGTCCATTAGTACCAATTGAGCATCAACGCCACAGCCTACCTGAGTATTGCTGCTGACCATGTCCATCCCTTTATGAGCACAGTGTCTCCATCTTCTGATGGCTACTTCCAGCAGGATAACGCAGCATGTCATAAAGCTCAATCATCTCAGACTGGTGTCTTGAACATGACGATGAGTTCACTGTACTCAAATGGCCTCCACAGTCACCAGAGCTCAATCCAATAGAGCAGCTTTGGGATGTGGTGGAACGGGAGATTGGCATCATGGATGTGCAGCCGACAAATCTGCAGCAACTGTGTGATGCTATCATGACAATATGGAGCAAAATCTCTGAGGAATATTTCCAGCAGCTTGTTGAATCTCTGCCATGAAGGATTTAAGCAGTTCTGAAGGCAAAAGGGGTCCAACTCGCTACTAGTACCTAATAAAGTGGCCAATTGCAATATTATAATAGCAAACAAATCATACTAAAACAAAACTGGGTAATCAATTTCGATAAGCAAGTGAATTATTATTCAAAATATGAACAAAGTTGTCATCATGTTAGTTTTGCAACACTTTCAAAATACTGAAAGAATGTAAATTACTAGGGATGTAACGGTATTGTAAATACCGTCATACCGCAATATTAAATTTTTTCGATATTACCGAAGTCGCATGACTCGGTAAAACTATAGGTCTTCTGAGAAAATTTGCTCAGGCGAATGAAGCGAACGGGAGGTAGCTGGAACTTCATTTCCCATCAGCCCCGGCGTGGCCATAATCCTTTGCGGTCTGTTGTCGCTACAGATCCAGTAATGCGGAAATGGAGTGTGCTGCTAGTAGCGGAGATGAAAAAAAGATGGAAATGATCGAACCTAAAGCGGGTGTTGTCGCCGCGCGCGTGCTGAATAGCGGTGCTGTCGCGCGCGTTCTGATCAGCTGTGTTGTGGCGCGCGTATTGTAAAGCGCCGAGGGGGGGTTGAGCGCGCATACTCAAGAGAGGTGTTATCGCGCGCCTACTGAAGGGCTGGACTGGACGGAGGTTGTGTCGCGTCGCGGGGGCACTTTTGATCGTTTTGGAAGGGCATTTTCTATCCAAGACTAAAAAGGGCATGTGCACTGCACAGGTTGAGCCCTATGTGTGCACGTGCCTGCAAGTTGGGGAATACGACTAATAACAGTCATGGGGACTGCAGAAACACAGCACACTGTTCAGATTGATGCAGACATTGACTTGTACCGCAAAGAGATCTCTATCTCACTCATGGTTTGTCCTCTCAAGTGGGGGAAAGACAATGCACAACGTTACCCCACTGCGGTCAACATGGGCCAAGTCATATCTCTCTTGTCCCAGAATCCTCAGTCCCAAATGAGAGGGGTTTTTTCTGTTGCAGGGGACATTGTAAATACTCAGAGATACCAGCTTTTACCAGATTATAGTTATATGATAATTTTCCTTTAAACCCATCTCTATCTAAGTGAGTGATTAAATGTTGAATGTGATGAGTTTTCAACAATACTAAATTGAAACTTTATTTTTTTACATGGTTTAATAATTTTTTGTTATTAAAATTGAAGTTCCTGTTTCAAAGCTTACAGATAGATGGCTAATTTGTATGTCATTGACACTTTTGGCACTTTTTTGGGAGTATTTTCAAAAGTTTTTTTTTTCCTGTAAATGATTCAATAAATACCGTACCGTGACATTCATACCGAGGTATTACCGTACCGTGAAATTCTGATACCGTTACATCCCTATAAATTACAGCATCAGGTTATGAAACGGTGAGCTCAGTGAGGACAGACTCTCTGGAGAGATGAAATCAGAGCATGACCCAGTAAAATCAGCTGGAAATGAGTCAGACGGACTGATGGAGACAGCACTGCGCAAACATTCACTGTACACTTTCATAACATCTGATATAAACACATTCCTGAAGGCCATCAGAGAGCAAACAACATCTGATGATCAGTTATGGACAACACACACACACACACACACTCGCACAGAGACCAAGGCTGTTTACACAACAATGATGTAACCAAAAATGGAAAGGTTCCACGTCACAATGACACAGGCACAAACTGACATTGACACAGACAAACACACAGAAACACACTAACACAAACACATACATTCACAAACATACACAATCAAATACACTCAGAAACACACACTAATCAAACACAAACAGACAAATGTTCCACATCACAGCTTTTTGCACAGACAACCCGACACACAAACACACACAGACTCAAAACAAACAAGAAGTGTCCTGCTTTTTGGCTGAAAATGTCATGTACACAACTCTAAGACACACACACACTCATGCTCAGGAGTATCTCACCACTGTGTGTGCTGCAGAAGTGTGTGTGTGTTTTATCCTCACCGTTGTGTGTGCTGCAGATGTGTGTATGTTTTATCCTCACCGTTGTGTGTGCTGCAGGAGTGTTTGTGTTTTATCCTCACCGTTGTGTGTGCTGCAGGAGTGTTTGTGTTTTATCCTCACCGTTGTGTGTGCTGCAGGAGTGTGTGTGTTTTATCCTCACCGTTGTGTGTGCTGCAGGAGTGTGTGTGTTTTATCCTCACCGTTGTGTGTGCGTTTTGTCCTCACCGTTGTGTGCACTGCAGAAATGTGTGTGTGTGTTTTATCCTCACCGTTGTGTGTGCTGCAGGAGTGTGTGTGTTTGGTGCAGGTTTAGCGCCTCCTGCTGGAGCTGAGGGTTTCTGCTGTATTTCTCCTTTGGCGTGTGACAGTCTGTCCCTCAACATCCGCACTGCAGCCTGGAACACACACACACACACACACACACACACACACACACACACACACACACACACACACACACACACACACACAAAACACACACACACAAAACACACAACACGGTTACTACACTGATGACTAATCTAATGCAGAAATTATATTCCTTCCAACACAGAGTAGGTGCTGCTTTAGGGCAGGGGTGTCCAAACTCGGTCCCGGAGGGCCGGTGTCCTGCAGAGCTCCAGCTTGCTTCAACACACCTGCAGGATGTTTCTAGAAGGCCTAGTAAGAGCTTGATTAGCTAGCCCTGGTGTGTCTGATTTGGGTTGGAACTAAACTTTGCAGGACACCGGCCCTCCAGGACCGAATTTGGACATGCCTGCGTTAAGGGAAGGCATTCATGAATATAAACAAATCTAGCTTGTTCTGAACTCTAGCACTTCATTCTCTGAGCACACACAGAGTCTTTGTATAATTAGTCCAATTTCAACAAAAAAACAGCAGCAAATAAAGGTGCTGCATGTACGTTTCTGACTCTTCTGAAGCATATAAACAGCATCATATGTGTGCAGATAATCAGAATCATGCTCAGTGAACATGCTTGTTTATCTGAAACACAACGCTGAAGTCAGATATTCTGCAGTGAGCATGTGTGTTACGTGCCGGAGCGGCTGTCTTTGGCTGTTTCTCAATTCCAAGAACGCAGAGAACAGACTTGTGTTCTTGTAGAGTGCGGTCTTGCCAGGTGTCCTCGGAAGAACGAACTCAGGAGACGGCGAGGGCAGAGGACGCATCCTTTGAGAATTGAGATGCTGCGTTCTTCCTGATGGTCACATGACCTTCACGTGTTTTAAATGGTAAATTATTTAAACATTACAGCACTCAAACAATGATTTACTGTTTTTCCCCCTTTTCAAAATATATACTTTGCATAAAATCATTATAAATATATGTTGCACAATATAAATAAAACAGATTTTAATACGATTTTTAGCAAACAAACACCCTTAATGTGTTTATTCCTTTATTAAGATGTCCATGGTAATGTTTACTTTCACGTTTCATTTAGGGAAACTCCTGAGGTAAATAAGTGATATCTCTGAACTTTAATAATAAATCTAAATAAAATGCTGCGCTTCCCACCTCCAGTCGCAATGACTTCTGGGACTTCCAGAGCGAGTTCGGTGCTCAAGTCTGCATCAGTGCGTCCTCGATATCAAGATCACATCCGGGAAGTTTCACGCGTACTCCGTACTTGCGGTCTGGAGTATTGGAACTGAACTTAGGCAGCTGATGATGACGTTTCACGAGAACACAAGGATGCAAGACCGCTGAAGAACGCATATTGAGAAACAGCTTTTGTTTTGGTCATTAAACCCAATGCCAGTTTAGCCAATTATATTTCAGCACCCCGGGTTGCCAGATGGTGGAAAGCAGCGTATTTCACTCATTCAGTCAGGAAGGCTCTCTAAGCACGTGTCAGTGACTGAAATGCGCCCTCTGGTGGACAGTAGCAGACTCTGAAATGAGACGCAGATTCAGAGTTCCACATGAGGTTACTAATTAGCAAATATTAGAAATATTAGGAGTGTAAACACCAAACGAAACAGGACAGAAATGTAAACACAGCCATTCAGAAGAGCCGAATAGTGCACTCACTGCACTCCAGCACAATGCTGAGCTTTATAATCTAATGTTGTCCCCTGACGGCCCGCACTCACACCACAATCGGGCTTTGGCATGCTTACGTCATCGCTGCTGCGCTGTTCAGTGAGAAGCGCTCTCTCTCTCAGCAGCACAGTGGAGATTTCTCTAGTTATATGGTTTCAGTTGATTGACATGCAGTCAAATATTTCACCAAACAGTCCTTAGGGATGCGATGACACGCAGTCAGATATTTCGCCGAACAGATCCGCCACTTTTGGCACTCATAAACAATCATAAAGCTCTCGTGCTGCAGGAATGAGGAGGTCTGCTGAAGGTGCAGCTGTCGTCCAGTGAGGAGTTCTCATCTTTAATAATCTACGGCAGTTTGTGTTCACTGAACAGAAGAATGATTAATAAATCCATATGAAACAGCCCCTTAAAGTCACGTCTCGCTTTCAGTTTCAGTTTCAAAGCCCAAGTGAACCGCGCTCAGGCACACCTCTTCCATTCGGGCCAGGGCCGGCCAAGTGAACCGTGCCTGTGCCCGATTCAGCGCACTCACACTTCTCAAACGATCCGGGAAACGGGCCTGGGCATGGTTCGCATAGCATAGTGTGAGTACGCCCTTAAATGTAGGTGCTGAATCACTGATATGTGTTGGTTTGCACTGAGTCTCAGTTCTGACGTTCAGTTTCAGACGCTTTATTTTATTCTCCTGATCTGAGCTGAACTATCTGCTGCTGCTTTCAGTAGTGTGGTAATAAATGTCGTATTGGCATTTCACTCTGAATAAAGCACATGAGCTGTAGCTGAGCATTGTCAGTTTTCTGTTGTTCAGCTGTGAGAAACAGAAGCCCTTTCTAATTTACTGATTCCAGGTGTTGGTTAGGACAAATCTCATTTTAATATGGAGAATATTCCTTCTATCGTGTGTCGTTGCTTTTATTTAGTAGACAACGTAAACCCGACTTTAGGCTCAATAGTCAGGCACACTTCTGTAGATGTAGTCATCCTGGCAACCTGCACTTGCATGTGTTTTGAACCAGGCGTGCAGTTCCTAGTTCAACCACTGGGTGTCATATTTACATACTGTACCTTTAACGCCCCATTCACACGGGGCTTCAGCTGCAACGCTTGACTGAAGGCATGTCTGAAGTTGGGGCTGAAGCGATCGTCATATCAGCGTCAGCCAATGAAATTCAGTCAGCAATAGGCCTCTGTCTAGCAGGAGCATTTGCATTCAGCGATCTGATTGGCTGACACTTCCGTCGGCACTTGAAAAGTTGAGCTAGTCCCAACTTCTGCAGCGAGCAACGCCTCTAAAGCGGTGCCGACGGATCAACAATGCAGTTTGGCAAGGCCTGACATCACCCATTCAAAGTGAAAGGGAAGCGTTGACGCTGACGCCCCGTGTGTATGGGCCGTAAGAAAAGATCCTCATTGGTTTGACGGCAAATGTGTGGCAAATCCTCACAACATAAACACATTAAAAATCACACAGCATTTGCTCACAGTGCAAACAAATGAAGAAAGCGCCTTCCCAGCTGAGTGTGTGTGTGTGTGTGTGTGTGTGTGTGTGTGTGTGTGTGTGTGTGTGTACCTGGTCGGAGTCACTGGGCAGGTAGTTCAGTGCTGCGCTCAGGCTGCCCTGAGATGCCAGAATACTGGAGTACTGGATGAGCTTCTGGGTCAGCGCTGAGCTGCGCACACACACCTCAATGTTACGCAGACGCTCAATAGACTTCCTCAGGATCATCACCTTCTCCACCAGATCCTGCAGACAACACACACACACACACACACACACACACAATTAAGCAAAAGCAGTTTATAATTGATTTAAAGTCATGTTAAGGTCAATATTATTGGCCCCTTCAGCAATATTAGTGTTGGATTGTCTCCAGAATAAACCACTGTTATACAATGACTTGCCTAATTACCCTAACTTTACCCTAATTACCCTAGTGAAGCCTTTACATGTCACTTTAAGCTGAACACTAGTGTCTTGAAGAATATCTAGTCTATTATGTGCTGTCATCATGAACTGAAAATAAGGAACTGATATAGGACACAGAGTTACAGTCGGAGTGTGTGTGTGTGTGTGTGACCTCGAGAGCGAGTGGTGATGAGCAGTCTCTCTGCAGTGTCCAGCAGTCCACCAGACGCTCGATGTTCCCCGAGCAGATGAAGCACAGACAGGCCTGCAGACAGAGCTTCTCTGAGCCGCCAGCCTCCAGACGAGAGCCCAGAGTATCTGCGCGCACACACACACACACACACACACACACACACTTAAAGACATATCAATACAAATACACAGACAGACAGACAGACACACATGTACAAACAGACACATACACACATACAAAGACACACACATGCACACACACTCAAATTCAAAAGCACAAAGGCGTACACAAACATGCATGCGCACACACATAGACACACATGCACACAGCAGAGACGCATCATACAGTCAGACAAACAGACACACACACAAACAGACATGCATACACACATTCCAAACAGACAGATACACATGCACACTCAATGAAAGTCTGAATGGTCTGATATCGAGGAGTCTCACCGCACAGACTAGCAAACTCCTCGGGGTTAGCGTAGGTTAGCAACGCTGCTAACGCCTCCTTCCAGTTATCAAGCTCACAGCTCTGAACGATATCACGCCAGTTCTGTGTCACTACTGACGAGATCAGCTGTGGAGAAATTAAATATACCTTTAATTAGATTATTATAATAATACAAATAATAAAACCATTGGTAAAATTAGTATCATAATAATATTAGTATAATAATAGGTGCTGTATGTCAGTTTTTGACTCTTGTAAAGCATAAAAACAGCATCATACATGTGGCATGAATACAATGTGAACATGCTTGTTTATCTGAGACACAATGCTGAAGTCAGATATTCTGCTGTGAACATGTGCATTAGTGCCTGAACGCCTGTCTTTGTTTTGGTCTCTTTAACCCGCCCAATGCCAGTTTAGCCAATTATATTTCAGCACCCCGGGTTGCCAGATGGTGGAAAAATGTGTATTTCATTCATTCAGTCAGGAAGGCTCTCTAAGCATGCATCTGTGACTGAAATGCGCCCTCTGGTGGACAGTAGCAGACTCTGAAATGAGACTCAGATTCAGAGTTCCACATGAGGTTATTAATGAGCAAATAATATAAATATTACAAGTGTAAACATTAGGTGAGCAGGTCACATTGCAACCCCGTGTGTCCTAACAACACGCTACATGATAAGATACACAGTGATCAACAATTTGGCTGTTTGCAGCAGACGAAACACGACAGAATTGTAAATAAAGCCATTCAGAAGAGCAGAATAGCGCCCTCGCTGCACTCCAGTGAAATGTTATGGTTTATAATCTAATTAATACACCTTAAACCTCATTAACATGATTAAATGTAAATGCTGAATCACTGATAGGCTGTGTGTTCAGTTCTAAAGTTCAATCTCAAACGCTTTATTTTATTCTCCAGATCTGAGCTGAACTATCTGCTGCTGCTTTCAGTAGTATGGCAATAAATGTCATTTAAATGGCATTCAGACTCGCATTATTAACACTGAATAAAGCACATGAGGTGCTGGTTTGTACAAAAACTCCTTTTAATATGGAAAATATTCCTTCTATCGGGGGCCGTTGCTTATATTTAGAACACTGTTAAAATCACTCGCTCCTGTCCTCAATCTGGCAACCTGCGCTTGCGTTTGTTTTGATCCAAGAGTGCAATACCTAGTCCAACCACTGGGTGTCAAACTTTATAGTAGTTATAGTATAGTAAACTATGATACTATGTACTATATACTATAATTGTTACTACAATAATATTAGTATTGTAGTAATAGTAATGTATATTATTAATAAAAGGACAATATATATATATATATATATATATATTAATAATAAATAGAATGATGACCAAGATTTGTTGTTGTTGATGATAAAATTCATAATAAATATATAAATAAATACAAAAACAAATAAATAAAAGGATGATCACCCAGATTATTTGTTGTTTATAATGATGATAATAGAAACTAAAATTACGTTTGTTTATATAGATTTATATAAAACTGACTCTGATCTTCTAATCTATTACTGTTCATAAAATCTGACCTCCTATAAAAACTAAAGTGTAATACTGTTCGTGTCTGTCTGACTTTGGTCCACAAAACCAGAGCCAATTTTTATGATTTTAATTAGGAATCTGAATAATAAATAATGAAAAATACTGAGATACTATAAAGTTGTCCCAAATTAAGTTCCTAGCAATGCATATTCCAAAAAACAAAATTAAGCAAGATATATTTACAGTTATAAACGTAATAAATGTCTTTATTTAGCATGATCCTTTGTGATTTGTGCATTGCTGCAAAATGCATTGCCTCCCCCCTAAAAAATATATATATATATATCAAGCATTGTTTCACGAATATTGTTTGATGTAACGTTTCAAAAAAATCATTTGAATATAGCATTAATTTTAACAACTAGGAAATGTGATATAATTATAGTTATTCCCATATAACCTTCATTGCTTGGTCTGCGCTTGAGTAAATGTGCTTTGAATGAAAATGATTTGATGCTGAAATGTGCTGTCATCAGTGATGCATGCTCACCATGGAGATGCTGTTGGTCTGTCGCTGCAGGTATCTCTGCTGGGTTTTCTTCAGCAGTTCTTCTCCTCCGCTGATGGACAGAAGGATGGCCTCCGCAAACCGACCGTCATTCAGACACAGATCCACAGCGCCCTCGAAGTTTCCCACTAACAGCGCCTGACTGATCAAACCGTCTGTATCTGCACACACAGGTAGTAACAAAATAGACATACAATAAACTTAAGTGGGATGTATGGACTGACTGTATATGGAAAAAGCTTCAGAGACAGTTACAGCTTTTAGACTGGATATTTATTTAATAATTTATTTATATAAATGCCAAATGTGAAATGTCAAAGGTCTCTGAGACAAATTAAATTTCCTTACGGGGACAAATAAAAAGTTAACTAACTTAACTAACCTCTGTTTATATGACTATCTGGATATGACCTGATCTTGACCTATTAAAGTGTTAGTTCATAAAAAAAACTTGAAAATTGATTATTTACTCATCTGCAAGGCCTTAAAAACACAATGTTTGGGCCTTTTTAGGGTCTCCTTAAGTGAATCCTTGCGCTATAGGGGAATTGATGAACTAAATTGGCCGTAGTGTCTGAGTGTGTGTGTGAATGAGTGTGTGTATGGGTGTTTCTCAGTACTGGGTTGCGCCTGGAAGGCCATCCGATGTGTAAAACATGCTGGATTAGTTGGCGGTTCATTCCCAAATGTGAATTCTGTCACTGTTTCGGAGCATGCTAGCATATAGATATCCATAAAACACATGTGTCAAAGCCAGTTCCTGGAGGGCCGCAGCTCCAACCCTAATTAAACACACCTGATCAAACTAATTGAGTGCTTTAGGCTTGGTTGATACCTACAGACAGGTGTGTTGAAGCAGGGCTGAAACTAAACGGTGCAGGGCTCTGGCCCTCCGGGAATTGACTTTAACATGCCTTAAAACATACTGATAACAACATCTAAAAAACCTGCATTTTAATTTCTTAGGGACTTTGAAAAGTTTTATGAAACCTAATTGTTCATCTTTCTTTGAGGTGCATTAACCTTATATATTAAAAAAAAAAGAAACACACACACACACTCCAGATAGTGGAACTAATGCATCAAAAAATACACCGCAAAAAGAGTAGATGACGGTGGTTGCAGGAGGTTTATATGTTGGATATCTGTCTGAGGCACTTTTATTTAGTATGGAAGCTCTTCACTGAACTACTTCTGGAGTGCTGATTAAAATTAGCCAACGGTTGACATTACTGACACTGAGCTGGAAAAGCCTGCGATTTTAAGTCGCTTTGGACAAACCGTCTACTAAATGACAATGTAAATATAAGATAATTATTAAAATAACTCTATTCAACTGAAAGAAGACAGTCATTTACACCTATGAAGCCTTGAGGAGGGTGGTGCAGTGGGTAGCACAGCAAGAAGGTCACTGGTTCGAGTCTCGGCTGGGTCAGTTGGTGTTTCTGTGTGGAGTTTGCATGTTCTCTCCGTGTTGGCGTGGGTTTCCTCCGGGTGCTACGGTTACAGTCCAAACACATGCGTTATAGGGGAACTGATCAACTAGATTGGCCCTAGTGTATGAGTGTGTGTGTGTGTGGGTGAATGAATATGTATGGGTGTTTCTCAGCACTGGGTTGCAGCTGGAAGAGCATCCGCTGGAATAGTTGGCGGTTCATTCCGCTGTGGCGACCACTGATGAATAAGGGACTAAGCCGAAGGAAAATTAATGAATGAAGCCTTGAGGATGAGCACATAATGAAACGAGTCATTTTTGAGTGAACTAACCCCTTAATGATCAACATACTGCTGCTCTCTGATGATTCGACATATTTATTTTATACTTCTCTTTAGATAAAAGCATCTGCTAAATGAATAAGTAAATAAATGCAGTGTTCACCTGAGGATACGGGGATCTGGAAGGGCTGTTTGTCTTTCTCTTTCTTCGGCAGCTGACTGAAGAAATCAGCAGGAGATTCACGACCGGGCAAACCGTCAGCAGCTCCGGCGCACTCATCTGCTCTCTGATACAAGGAGAAATCACATGAAGATTTAACAACAGCCATGTTTCCCTGCTAAATATACTCATGCACATTTTGGAGCTCTCCATGTTTGCAGCTTTCCAGTGTGTCAGATGTGAGATGTTGTTGTGCTGATTGTAAAAGGCCCCAGCTCTCCATCAGTCCGTCATCACAGTGCTTCAGCATTATTCCTCTATTATTATTCCCTCCACATCTGTCTTGAGCATCTGTCTGCGCTCCAGTCTTATGCATCTAAAAGCCATCGCATTCATTGCGTTTGGTCTACTGAAGCGCAGCTCATTGATTAGAGGAGGTCAGCCCAGTGGAGAATGCCAACAGTGCAGCACACTCCACTTCTCTCAGTGATATCCATGCATGTTTAGCAGGAGCTGAGGAGGTGATGCTCTTCTTATTACCTGATGTTTTTGCTATATTACAGTTTGTGCATTGAACAGAGCTAATGCAGACTGACACGCGCGTTGCTTTGGAGTTTTAACACACCTGATCTGAAAGTGTCTGCATCTTCTCTGCAAGGTCATTCACATCTAAACCGTTGGGTTGAAGTTTCCTTCCCAAACAAGCGGAGATCTGCAGAAAACACACAACAGCTCAATACAAACTCAAATCACATCGCTTTTATAGTCACTTCAGCAGCAGCACATGTGATGATGCAAAGCTTGGGTGCAGATAGTGCAAAATATGACGACACACTTGCAGACAATGAACATTTATATACAACACACATTTATAACACACATTAGACATGCATAGTGAAGTTTCACAAATTAACTTCGAGAGGAGCACATGATATGATTGATCGCAGCTGGTCTCTCATCTGTAATCATTAGCAAGCCAATCGGATCATTCCAAACTCACTATAGATATCCCGTCTAGCATTACTCCCTTATCTCAATTTTTTAAAGAATCCCACCATCCCCCCATTTCCTCCTTTACAAGGGGGAGCTCTTCAGAACTACCTGATCTCGTACCTCCTTACATGCTCATTGACCAGGCGGGAGCCCTGGGCTAAATTATCTTTGAGCTCAGGGTTTTGGCAGGGCCAGCCCTGAACATTTGGGGGCCCTAAGCAGAATAATGTCTCATGGACATGTTCTGCTCCTCCGCCTGAAGAATAGAATTGTTTTCACAGTCCAATTTTTAAAACAAAATATCAGGTGAGGGGCAGGAAATGATGCAAAGGTCATGGCTGTGCCTGTGCACAGATTCGCGTTCATGTCATGACCAGAGCGTCTTGCAGGTTACATTTGAAGAATGAACTTGAACCATGAGAACACAGAATGCAAATGAGAAACGAGATGCTGCAAGCTTCCTTGATCATATGAGCTTCACCTTTCAATGACCTTTCAATGTTCTTAAATAAGGATCATTTATATAGATCAGGGCTCGAAATTAACCTTTTTGCTTGGTAGCACCAGTGCTCCTAACTCAAAAAATTTAGGCGCATCAGCAAAAATTTAGTCGCACCCACCAATTATGAGCACCGTTACTACAAGTTTTATACAAGCAGATTTATTGTATTTGAAATCAACACTAATCAAACTAACAAGCAAAAAAAAAAAAAAACATATATGCAAGCGTGAGGAAAATATGTCTCAACGAAATCCCGTTATCACAAGATTTTTATAACAGAACTGAGTGACCAAAAGCATACACGGAGCGCTCACCGGCCCTGCACACACTGCTTGAATGAATCTGTTGACGGTATAACTGTGCTGTTCTCACAAGTGCTGTCTGATATTGCATTGATGCTTTTGACATATAACGTTACTGTACATTATTATATGCATACATGTTAATAGCAATACCGGTCTTTTTAGGAGTAGCGATATTTAGTTTACTCAGTGTAAGCCCGCTTGCGATGGTGTACGTGGTGTTTATTTTGACATATAGCTGCCCCTTGCACGGCGGACAGCATCTGGCGATTATATGAAGGATTAAACAGAAGCTCTCGTGCTAGATGTGGCAAACAGTTACCTGAAAACTCCATCCCACAGACTTTTCATAGCGGACTTGAAGCCAATGGAAGTCTTTTATCCACTCTTGGAAAAGTGTAGATGGAGGATTAACATTCAGCACATGATCACTAGTAAGATGTGTCATTATTTGTAACTTTAGATGGTTTCTAAAACTAAATCTGTCAGTGTTATCTTCATTCTCATCTTCAGCGCTTTACAGTTTTTCGCGGTAGCAGCTCTCTCTGTCATCCCCAGCCAGAAGGCACTGACTGATTGATTGACAGCTGATATTTCAGTGCTGGAGCAGTGGGCCAATAAGAAGAGCGTGAAGGCGGGGCAAGCATTATGCACTTGGCTTTGTTTACTGCAGGAAGTTGACATGACAACTGTTTTAAACCATTCCTGAGCGCTGCGTTTCACGTTTCAAGTGCAGACAAAGAGCTTAGAGATGCATTCTGCGTGAATGTCTCCCGAATTCGTGCATGTGGTGAACATTTTGCAGTAAAAACTGGTCGCACACAACAATTTTTAACACTCGCAGAAATGCTCCCAAATATATTTTAAGGTCGCATAGATAAAATTTCGGGCGCATATGCGACCAAAACAGTCGCAATTTCGAGCCCTGTAGATATTTGTTTCTTTATTGTGACTATATATAACTATTGATGTGCTAAAGCACTGTCAATAAAGATCATTTTTACAATGCAAATAAAAACCATTTCAGCAAGCAAATGGCTCAGACCACTGGCGCGTGGTGAGGCCCCCTAGTGGCGCTTGGTTTGCTTATAGGGAGGGCCGGCTCTGCTCTCTGTGGACAGCATGCCAAACCTGCTATTATCATCAGCAAAATATAAGCGTGAACTCTTGAATTGACATGAACAGACAGGTCATGCAAGATAAACAAGATTTTTTTAAAGCATCATCAAGACTTTTTTTTATGCAGTGTGAGAGGAGATGTTCAGAGTTGTGCGTTTTGCTGCGATACCTTTCTCTGCAGCTCGTCTTTACTGAATCCCAGAAGCCTCAAAAACTTCACACGCGCTTCATCCTCAAAATTCACCTGTGACAGAAAAACAAACACGACAATCAGTCAAACATTTACACTGATATCTATAAAACAGCTCATGCAAATGCTGATGATCTATGCCAGGGGTCACCAAACCTGTTCCTGGAGGGCCGGTGTCCTGCAGATTTTAGCTCCAACCCTAATCAAACACACCTGAACAAGCTAATCAAGCTCTTACTAGGTATACTTGAAACACCCAGGCAGGTGTGTTGAGGCAAGTTGGAGCTAAACCCTGCAGGACACCGGCCCTCCAGGACCGAGATTGGTGACCCCTGCTCTAAGCAATAATTCCAAAAGTAGAAAAGATTTAATAAAAAGAAACTGCGCAAATCATTAAAAATAAAATACATTATAAAAATATGAATAACAAACAATAAATATATATTTGTATTGTATTTTTGCTTGTTCAATTATATATATATATATATATATATATATATATATATATATATATATACACACACACACACACATACACTCACTCTGTCTCTCTTTTTTATACGTAGTTTATTTTTATTACTGTGTGTGTGATTTACCATGAGGAACCTCCAGATGTCCTGCTCGGCGTCGGTCGGAGCGCTCTGGATTTTACTGTGGCAGAAGCTGCTGAAGGATCCGGACTGCAGCGTCATCTGCAGCTCAGTGGAGCGCTGGAGGAACTCTGTCTCTGTGGTAACCTGACTCACATGCACCTGTCGAGGGAGTGGATTGGCTGGTTGTTGTTGCTGGGGCGGAGCCACGTTAGGGTTCTCAAAGGTCACCAGTTTCCCACCGAACTGAAGGAGACACAACACAGAGATACAGCTGGAGTCGCTATTCAGAATGTGAATGTGTATTAATATATATTTTAATCAATGCAGGGCAAAGATTAATCACATCCAAAAACAAAAGTAATAATAATATATAAATATAAATATATATATATAATTACATATAATTACATTTATGTGATATACAAAAATACCCAAAACTATTTTGTTACATAGATATTTACATTTATATATAATTAAATACATTTTATGGTTCAATTTTCAATAAATTAATAACACCCTGGTACAGACTCAGACAGTATTCCTGAGATACTCACAGCGAAAGATGCTCCTACAGGCCTCCGCACCCACTTTGGAGGCTTTTTTAACGGAGGAATAATGGTGGTCTCCACAGCGGCTTGAGGAACCTGAAGAGGCGGCAGAGTTTGACCCATCCCAAATGGGTCATTAGTATCAAACGAAGCGGAGATCTAAAAATAAAGAACAACCCAATGCAAAACGTAAATCCTTAAAGAAAAGTTGGCAAATAATCCATACAACTGTACCTGGTTGATTGTACTTTGCTGATGCGGCTATAATAATAATAATAATGATAATAATAATAATAATTGATTGTACATTAATATGCTATTATTAAACACTTCAATTTAATTAAATATTACTTTTATAACAATTATAAATTATCCATAAACTGATTTGTTCTCATAATTAATTTTAAGTTGTACAATTTATTTTAAATACTATTAAATTAATATTTTAAACTGTGGAATTTAATGTTATTTTAATTATTATAAAAAAAATTATATCAATGTATTTTATTATGCAGTAAAGTGCATCATTTTTCAAATGAATGAACAACTAATTATTTTAATAAAGATTATCCATAAACAATCATAAGAACTCTTTTCATAATAATTATAATAATATTAATAATAATAATAATAATAATAATAATAATGAAAAATTTTATTTATTGTACACAAACTATGTAATTAAAATTTACCATTACAACTATTATATATTACCCATTAACAAATTGATTTGTTTACATAATTTCATAATCTCATAATTTCAAACTGCAGAATAACATTTTGTAATAATTATAAAATTAATATTTATATTATACTACAAAATGCATCATTACAAATTCAAGTACAATTAAGCAATAGAATAAAAATAAATATTATCCATAAACAAATGTAACAATTCTTTGAAATGAAAATAATAATAATAATATTCATAACAATAATAATAATATATTTTATTATACCCAAAATTGCAACATTTAAAATCCCTGTAAAATAAATTTATAATATAATTAAATATTACCCATAAACAAATGTAATAATTCTTTGCATAATAATAATAATAATTATAATAATAATTTCAATAATAATAATTATAATCAACATCATGATCATATTAAAAATAATAATTCTTATTCTTATTGTTATAGCCCAATTTATACACCAAAATGCATTATTATTGTTACTTATTATTATTATTAAAGATTTCTATATAATTACTTATTATAATTAGAATAATTATATATTAACCATAAATTTTATTAATACATTTATTTTTAATAAATTTATTAATATTGATATTAAAATCACATTTTATACTCTGATTTTTAATGATGACAATATATAATATAACAATAGTATTTCTTTGTTATACACTAATATGCATAATTATTAAAGTTGCTGTATAATTAATTATAATTAGAATAACTCTATATAACCCATAAACAAAAGTTAGCAATTTTTTTACAATGATTATCGTTCCAAGCAGCTTTGCAGAATAACCACATTATTACTTTACAGTCAGAATCCGAAGTGATGGAGTGGCGTATAGGGAGGCGGTATATAAACAACATGCGAATGAATATGAAGAGTGAATTGTGACCTGGTCGACTGTGCTGTGCTGCTGCTGCTGCAGTCGTCCACCCATAACAGAGTAAACACTGATGCGTCCGTCAAACGATGCGGCTGACAGGAGGGCGGGGTTTCGAGGACACCACTGCACATCGAAACACCACTGATTGGCTGTCGGCAGCTCATAAATCACCTAAAACACAACACACAAACGCTGTGATGGAAAACACTCCAGACTTCATCACCTCACACACTATTGAATTACAATCATTACATTTAATATTGATTATGGCTATTTGACAAAATAAACAAACATTCAATGGTGTAATGCTAGAAAAATGAAGAAAACATTTGTTTATGTGAACATTTCTATTATATACACATTGCACTTTTTTTTTTTTTTACATTTTGATATTTTTGTAACTACTCTAGATTACACTTGAATTATATTTCACAATTTAATAATAATTGAATACAATTAATAAATTATAATAAGTAATATACAGATTTTTTATAACACACACACACATATACATACACAGACACACACACTTTATAATATTTTAACCAATGTTTTCAATGCATTAATTAATATTAACACTGTATATTATTTGTAATTTGCTGCTTATTTTTAAACTGTTGAATTAAAGTAATGATATTTTATAAACACATTGAGAATTAATATTTTATTAATGGCAAATGTAAAGAAAAGAGAATGGTGTTATGGCAAAGTCACTGACTTGATTCTGAGGGAAATGTTTAACCTTTGATATTTGACCCTCATGTATAATATCACAAATGCAATCAGCATGTAAATGCAAAGATGTGGCAGTGGTGCAGAAATAAAGCTCGAGTGTGTGTGAGTGTCTGTCTGTGTGTGCAAGAGTGAAGAGTGTGTGTGTGGTACCTCTCCAGTGTTGGGGTTCCAGCACAGGATGCGGTTGTCTTTCCCGCTACTCAGCAGGAGCTCAGGATCAGCTTGACTCCATGAGATCGACAAAATCCCTCTGAGAATCAAAAGAGCAGCACATTATATCAGGATTCTCACTGAAATGTCAAATTCCCTGACTTTCCCTCACTGAAAAGCCGAATTCCCTTGACCTGTAATGAGCAATTGATGGTTTTACAATCAATAAATGTGATTATAATGGAAGTCAATAGAGCAAAAACAGCATCAACATCACCAAAGGGAAGTCAATTAAAAGATTTCAAAGCATTTTCCCAAAATATGTATCAAAATATAATATATATGCTATATTAGAATAAGTGAAGATTATCCATAAACAAATGTAGGAATTCTTTGCATAATAATAACGGTAGTAATTATACACAAACTATATAAATAAATATTACTATTACAACAATTATATATTACCCATACACAAACTGATTTGTTTAAATAGTTTCATAATCTCATAATTTTAAACTGCAGAATTAATGTAATGTTGTAATAATAAAATAATAACGTATTTAATCATACCCTGAAAATGCATCATTATAAATTACTGTACAATAAATTAATAGAATAATTAAATATTACCCATTCACAAATTGTACAACTCTTTGCATAATAATAATAATATTAATATATTGATAATGATATTAATATAAATAATATTATTATTTTTATTATTATTATTAATAGTAGTAATACTACTACTACTACTACTAATAATAATAATTATTATTATTATTAGAATTATAATAATAATGCATTCTGGTGTATAATAAATTATGCAATAATAATAATAATAATAATAATAATAATAATGATGATGATAAAGATAAAATAACAATAATAATGATAATGATAAAATAATAATAATCATAATAATACAAATATGAATAAATACTAATAACAATAGTAATAATAATAATAAAATATTAATAATAACATTATAAATAATATTAATAATAACAACAATAACATAATAATAAAATATTATTAAAATAATAATAATAATAAATAGTGAAATTAACAACAAGAATAATAATAATGCATTTGTGTATAATAAATTATGCTATAATAATAATAATGCATGTGTATAATAAATTATGCTATAACAATAATAATAATAATAATAATAATAATAATGCATTTGTGTATAATAAATTATGCTATAATAATAATAATGCATGTGTATAATAAATTATGCTATAATAATAATAATAATAATAATAATAATAATAATAATAATAATGCATTTGTGTATAATAAATTATGCTACAATAATAATAATAATAATAATAATAATAATAATGCATTTGTGTATAATAAATTATGCTATAATAATAATAATAATAATAATAATAATAATGCATTTGTGTGTAATAAATTATGCTATAATAATAATAATAATAATAATAATAATAATGCATTTGTGTGTAATAAATTATGCTATAATAATAATAATAATAATAATAATAATAATAATAATAATAATAATAATAATGCATTTGTGTGTAATAAATTATGCTATAATAATAATAATAATAATAATAATAATAATAATAATAATAATAATAATAATGCATTTGTGTATAATAAATTATGCTATAATAATAATAATAATAATAATGCATTTGTGTATAATAAATTATGCTATAATAATTATAATGCATTTGTGTGTAATAAATTATGCTATAATAATAATAATAATAATATTTTTTTAATAGCATAACAAAGCATTTTCCCAAAATATGTGTCACAATAAGATGTAAAAATCATCACATTTGCTGAAACAGAAAGAAAGCTGTAGCCAAATTAAGACTCAAAATCAGCCCAGAGTGGATAAAAACGACCCAACACAAGTGTTAAATTACTTTTCAAACAAAGCAATCAGAAAAGTAATTTAAATATAATAATAATAATGATGTGATATTATTAATGTTGAGTAGAAATGCGGGTTTCTCTACCTGGTGTGGTTCTCCAGCACTTTTAGAGGTGATGTTGCGAACCGAAGATCCCACATCTGGATGACTGGCAGCCTGTCGTCCTCTGAGGCCAGAACCAGCTGAGTGGCCACATCTGGATGCCACAGCATCCCTGAGCAGTGCATCTGAACACACACATGCACACAATATATTCTTCATAAAAAAAACAACGCTAACTTTTGGATCATCAACACACTGTGACACTATTTTCATGACAATCATACACATTTCCCATCCATACTCTCATCATCACAAAGCAATTCACATCTATAAAGAGCAAAAACTATAGACCATTTCAATGTGGCAATGTCTTTGGCCATGAATATTTCATGCTTGCTCTTAAACTATTTCATAACTGTAACAAGAGGCAATTCATTCATAACTTAACGTTAAATCAGCTATCATAACCTTATCAATATGTGGACCTTTCAGGACTCTCGGATGCTATGGAAATTGAAAATGTAAAACAAGAAATACGTTCGAACCATTGTTATTGTTTACATCCCCCAAAATGGGCTATAAATTTTATATATACTAAACTTACTATTAAAGTAACAGATTAAAAAGTCAATATAAAAAATATATATAAAACAAATAAATAAATAAAAATAAATAAATAAATTAATTAAAAAAATAAATCACACTAACTGTACTTATTATTATAATAGTTTTTTTTTACAGAAGTATAATTAATAAAGTGTATACATAGTGATTTTATTTATTAGTTTAGTTGTCTGGATGGTTTTTATTGCTATATTTAGATCTACTCATAAGTTTAAAAAAATGAAAATCTGTAACTAAAAAGAATCAAACTACTAAAAATAAATATAACTTTAAATATTTGAACAACTTTAAAGTACATATATATTGATTTTTATTTATTTGCTACATTAAATCTATATCTATAACTAAACCTTTCTATAAAACACACACACACACACACACACACACACACACAGATATATATATATGTGTGTGAGTGTGTGTGTGTGTGTCTGTGTGTGTGTATATATATACAGTTGAAGTCAAAATTATTAGCCCCCTAAATTATTAGACCGCTTGTTTATTTTTTCCCCAATTTCTGTTTAACAGAGAGAAGATTTTTCTCAACACATTTCTAAACATAATAATTTTAATAATTCATTTCTAATAACTGATTGATTTTATCTTTACCATGATGACTGTAAATAATATTTTACTAGATTTTTTCAAGACACTTCTATACAGCTTAAAGTGATATTTAAAGGCTTAACTGGGTAAATTAAGTTAACTTGGCAGGTTAGAGGAATTAGGCAAGTTATTGTATAAAAGTGGTTTGTTCTGTAGACTATCGAGAAAAAATATAGCTTAAAGGGGCTAATAATTTTGTCCCTAAAATGGTTAATAAAAAATTCAAAACTGCTTTTATTCTAGCCGAAATAAAACAAATAAGACTTTCTCCTGAAGAAAAAATATTATCAGACATTCTGTGAAAATGTCCCTGCTCTGTTAAACATCATTTGCAAAATATTTAAAAAGGAAAGAAAAAAATCGAAGGGGGCTAATAATTCTGACTCCAACTGTATATATATATATATATATATATATATATATATATATATATATATATATATATATATATATATATATAATAAAGTTAATGACAATAAAGTCAACGTTAAATGTTTCCTTTATTCAAAACGTGAGTATATTTCAGTATTTTCAGGTGTAATGTGAGCAGAACATGCGCTTACCCTGTTGCTGTGGTCGCTGATTTTGATGATGGGCTCGTTCTTCCTCAGGTCCCACACCACTGCTTTCCCGCTGGGGTTTGCGGAGGCCAGAATGTGCTGCACTTGACTGTTCCAGGCCACCACGCTCACGTCCTCCGCCGGCTAGCACATGCACAAACATGCTAAAACCACCACGACGAATCATGTGACGTCCCTAACCACTCCATAACAGCCCAGAACAACAAATCCCAGCAAACACACGCTGCTGTACGGACCATCAGCATTGTTTTTTCAGCAACTAATTAGGGCTGCACAGTACTGGAAAAAACTGACATTACGATGCATTGAGTGTTTAAGCTGCTAGAGATGATGTCAGTATAGACTAAGAGGATTATAGATGTGGAGTTTTAGATGAACAGCGACAGGAGCCACATAGACTGACAGAAGCATGAACACACCCTGACCAATGACCACATGCAGACCTGACCAGCACTGAGAACACTGCTAGTGCTGTTTTACATCTATGCATAGTCATTTGTAGCTCCGCCTTCTTGCTAAAAAGAGCACAATCTCATTTGCATTTAAAGTGACAGACACCAAAACACCACAATTAAGATCAAAGCCTGAGAGGGTCAGTTTCAGAGAGTTAGAGAACATTATTAGTAAGGGTGTCACGATTCTCCAAATCCTCGATTCGATTACATTTTCGATTCTAAAGGCACGATTCGATTTTCGATTATGAATAATTAATTAATTAATGAAGAATTAACTATTCGTAGCCTACCGTTTAAACTACCTGACCTGCGTGGTCTTTGTTTTACCCATAAACAAATCATACAGTAAATGAATAAAGGCAAGACACACACATAATTACCACCTGTCAATCACTTTTTCTGCGGGACTCGTGAATAGGCAGTGATCTGTGTCGTTATAATGGCGTCGGTAAAAAAGACGCACAACCAACAGGAACCAGCCAACAGTATCTGAGGTGTTCGCTAAAATGACTAAGTACAAGAGAGTGAAAGATTGAAGCAGTCCTCTGACTGCCTGGACCTGCTGTCTCGAGCGCATGGCTGTGTGTGCGTCTGTGTGTGTGTGGTCACGTGATGTGCATTTTCAGAGGTAGAGAGGAAGGAGGGCTGCTCAGAAATGCTACACGCCACTGTGGATGTCGAATCGTTGTCGTTCTAAAATGCCATTTAAAAACAAAGACAGTGTAAACAGGGTCTGAGTGTGTACTTTTCGCGAGCGGATTTGCAACGGGGGCGGGCGAAGGATCGCGATGCTGGTGTTGTCTATCGGACGAATCGTACGTAATACGTACATAGCAGAGCTTGCAAAACTGTGTTTTTTTTTTTGTCGACAACACGAACGTTGTCAACATAACTCACTGGAAATCCAAAATGCTTCCACACCGGCGACTTCATTGAAAGAGGAGAGGGTTTAAGTTCTGTCGACGGGTCTCCTGCTTCTGCAGTTTAACAAGCACTTCAACAAGCCTGTTTTTTCCCGCTTGGCAAGCCAAGCTGACGTGACATGGGGGCGTGGCAGCATCGACGATTCTATTTTTTTATTCGATAATCGAAATTGAGCATAAATTTAGATCGATTTCGATTAAAAATCGAAATCGTGACACCCCTAATTATTAGTGTGCTACTTTCAGCTCAAACTTCACAGGAACGGAGATGAAAATGAATTAAAAGTAAGGTACAGTGTTGAGATTTAAAAATTCACTTATGATTTGAGTCCAAATTGTTTAAATTGGCTTCAGCTCTTATAGTCAAAGGTCTTAAAACCACATCCGAATTAAAATCTCACACTTTATTGGGGTTCAACTTTGCAGTGGCTCCACAAATGTTCTGAAATGTGGTTCTTGGTTATTTATAATCCCAAACTGACATTGCAGATCTTGCGATGCAACTATTGAAGATTGACAAATAGCGATATACCGCCCGAAACGATATATTGTGCAGCCCTACTACTAATGCACTGCTTAGAGTTAGTAGGAGCTTCATTTGCAAAGAGAAGAGGTTCATCACACCCACATCACACTCATTAAAATCACCATCACCTTCATCTTACCTCACAGAGCTGAAGAACGGAGACATAAGTGCATTTACTGACCATCAAATATTGCTATGATTGCACAACACACAACATTATAGAGTCGCCAGACTACAGAAACGAGCTGTACCTGTGACTTTGTGCCGGGAGTCATTGGATTGCTGAAGTTGTTCAGGTCCCAGATGTAGATCTCTGAGTCATTGGCTCCTGATGCGATCAGATTACTCTGAGATGAAGGAAAAATAAAATAAAACTGGTGTCAGTCTACTAACACACATGAAGCCTGTTGCACAAAGCCAGTTTGGGGTATTGGGTTCAAGAAGGTGAGATGGTTTTGCTTGGGTTTTGTTGCAACAGTAACTTTAATAACACTCTTTCCACAGATATTAAGACCTCATTGACACTTTAGGGTTCAACAAGTAACATTGGCCACATTTTAACCTATTAAAATGTGCATTTATTAGCTAGATTTTAACATTTGAAGACCAACTTCATGGTGGCTTCAGAACAGTTTGAAAATGGTTTAAAAAGTATGGATAAATAAGCTAATTAGGATAAATTATGATTATTTTCATGTTTAAAACAGTAATTAGCAGGTGTGAATTAGCATGTTGGGCGTCACGGTGGCGCAGTGGGTAGCACGATTGCCTTACAGCACTCAGGTTGCTGGTTTGAGTCTCGGCTGGGTCAGTTGGTGTTTCTGTGTGGAGTTTGCATGTTCTCCCCGTGTTGGCGTGGGTTTCCTCCGGGTGCTCCGGTTTCCCCCACAGTCCAAACACATGTGCTATAGAGGAATCGGGTAAGCTAAACTGTCTGTAGTGAATGTGTGTATGGGTGTTTCCCAGTACTGGGTTGCAGCTGGAAGGGCATCCTCTACATAAAACATGTGCTAGATAAGTTGGCGGTTCATTCCGCTGTGGTGACCCCTGAACAAGGGATTAAGCCGAAAAGAAAATGAACAAATGAATGTTTAAAGCAAGAATTAGCATGTTGCTAGCATGTTTCTAGTATGAATTAGCATTTTTATAGTGTGAATTAACATGTTGACAGATTAAATTATGTATTAATGAGCATGTTGTTAGATGTTTCCAGTATGAAATAGCACGTTGCTTTCATATTTCCAGTATAATTTAGCATGTTGCTAGCAGGCTTCCAGGATGGATTAGCATGTTTCTAGCATGTTTTCAGTATGGATTAGCATGATTAGCAAGTTAGATGGATCGTCACAGTGGCACAGTGGGTAGCACAATCGCCTCACAGCAAGAAGGTCCATGGTTTGAGTCCCAGCTGGGTCAGTTGGTGTCTCTGTGTGGAGTTTGCATGTTCTCCCCGTGTTGGTGTGGGTTTCCTCCGGGTGCTCCCCCACAGTCCAAACACATGCGCTATAGGGGAATTGGGTAAGCTAGTTTGTAAGTGTGTGACTGAGTATGGTTGTTTCCCAGTGATGGGCTGCAGCAGGATGGGCATCCACTGCGTAAAACATATGCTGGAATAGTTGGCGGTTCATTCCGCTGATTAATAAAGGGACTACGGTGAAAATAAAATGAATGAATGATATACTGAAGCTAATCATATGGGTTGATATGGCTTACCTGAAAGCGGTTGAAGTCGAGGGCTCGAACAGGTCCCGTGTGTTTATTAGACTGGCCAATCACAGCATCCTCTCCTGCGGTCAGAATCACGTCGGGATTGAAGACGGTCACGCTACCATTCTCACTGCCTCCGATGAGACGACCCGACGACGGCTGGACATCCATACCAAACGCCACCCAGATCAGACTGTGAAACCTGAAAACACACACTCAGATCAACACAAATACACACACAACACTCACAATCATGCATGAGTGATGTTCCTGTTAATGCTTTAGAGCAGCGATGCCCAAAGCAGAGCCCGCAGGCTGGAGTTGGTCCATTATAACCTTTGATTTGGCCCATCTGAGAATGATGGAGAGGGTTGGGGCGGATGCTTTTAAAGAGTCAAGAAACACCAGAGCACATGTGTTTGAGCTGTTGACAGTGGTATATGTGTCCCACACTGCTAAAAACACTATTAGGACACCTATATTTTGCTAAAAAGTGTAAATTGGTTGTTTTTGCGTTATTTCAAGCAAATTCGTACTTCTAGTTTGAAACGAATTTTTGAAGCTGCGTCACGGTCATGACATAATAGCGTGTATTGCAGCATGCAGACTGGACGTCTGTGCCAGAGTGTGTCTTATTACGTCTTACAGTGTGCTGCATTAATGCATGAGTAAGGCTTGGTTCAAACCAATCAGCGCGCTCTATTGTGCAACTTCATTAATATTCATTACTGTCACAGTGTTTAGACGACAGAGACGCCACGTTGTGTTGGCAAAACAAGCGTGAAGTGTTGCTTTTATAGTTTGCTGCAGTGAAGTTTTGTTTTCATTTTCTCTCTGTGAGAGCGCAGCTGGAGTCACGTGTGGATTAACAGTGTACGCGACACTCCACAACAATAACTTACGTGTCTAAGGAGGATTATTGTTTACCTGAGAGCTGTTCTCATCTGCAAACGCTGAGATCCGGATTCGCTGCTCGTCTCCTCTTAATAAAGACGCGGCTCTAGTTGCTGGTGATTGTCCTGTCTCTACAGATTTGGTAAGTGAGTGACCAGTGCTCTTTGTTTATTCAGTTTGTTCGTATCAAACTAACTATTACACAGAGTGTGAACATGTTAGCACCACAACCAAACTTTAACCTCGTGTAGGGTTTTTACCCCATTTAGTGACCGGAATAACGCACGCGGCTTTCTGACGCTACCTGCTGTGTGCATCTCAGTTTCCCGGAAATGCGGAGGGTTTTTTCTCTCATTCGCCGTGCGGTATCAAACATTGCAAGAAAAATACACGCTTACAGCAGTTCCTCAAATCAAATATCTCGTTTGTCGCGAGGAACATGAATGAATTCCCTGAATGAAAGAGCCAAACTGCAGTTAAAATCCACCATTTAATCATTTGGCAAATAATTCGACTACAGTTGTCCATGTAAACACAGTCACTTTCTCCCGTGTGTGTGTTTGTGTGTGTGTGTGTGTGTGTGTGTGTGTGTGTGTGTGTGTGTGTGTGTGTGTGTGTGTGTGTGTGTGTATGTGTGTGTGTGTTTTGATTCTGAAACTCGCGCGTGCACAAATAGACACTCCCACACCATCCCACTTTAGTTCCTCCGACACTCCCCCTAAACAGAACTGGACACGCCCAATTTTCTGACTTTTTCCAAAGGAGAGGTGTGAAAACACCCTGCTGAAACGAGGGGGTTTCATATCCCTTTAATAAAGATCCTCATTTCTAAATGTGTGTTAATAATTACTTATTTAAATGTGTGCAAATATTTATATTTTTTTCCGTTTTCACAATAATATCAGTTTTAATATTGAATAACAAACAAACGTTTAGAAACAATCTAAAGTATTATCATCTGTTTTATTTGAATGTGTTATATAAAATACCTTCTATAGATTCTGGTAAACATTTTGATTGTAAACCTTAAAAGTCAAGTTATTTTTTATTTTGTGTGTTAGATTTTCGGCATAAATAGCAAAAAGTTCAGCATATTCTGTCTGGCAATGCTAATAACTGATTTCTTTTCTCTTTGTCATGATGACAGCACATAATATTAGACTAGATATTCTCCAAGACACTAGTGTTCAGCTTAAAGTGACATGTAAAGGCTTCACTAGGGTAATATGGTTAACTAAGTTAATTAGGCAACAGTGGTTGGTTCTGTAGACAACTGAAAATGATTATTACTTAAAGGGGGCTAATAATATTGACCACAGCAGTTTTTACATTTAGTTTTTAATAACTGGTGTTATTCCAGCCAAACTAAAAGAAATGAGACTTTCTCCAGGAGAATATTATGGGAAACACTGTGAAAACTGCTCTGCTAAACATGACTTGGGAAATATCTGAGAAATTTCACAGGAGGGCTAATAATTTTGCCTTCAACTGCATATACAGACATACTGATAATAATTCAGCGACTGATGTTCTACAGGCGTGTCAGAAACATGTTCAGCACGTCTCGCAGGATGACGACATTCATGACACATTCTGCCCTAAAGATGCTGTTAAACCTGCCTTTCTGCTATTGACATCAGGGTAAATTTAAAGCCTTCAATGTATGTATATATATATATATATATATATATATATATATATATATATATATATATATATATATATATATATATACACACACACACACACACACACACACACACACACACACACACACACACACACACACACACACACACACACACACACACACACACACACACACACACACACACACACACACACACACGTATATATACAGTTGAAGTCAGAATTATAAGCCCCCCTGAATTTTTATTTTAGCCTCTTTATTTTTTCCTCAATTTCTGTTTAACAGAGAGATTTTTTCAGCACATTTCTAAACATAATAATTTTAATAACTCATCTCTAATAACTGATTTATTTTATTTTTGCCATGATGACAGTAAATATTATTAGACTAGATATTCTTCAAGACACTAATATACAGCTTAAAGTGACATTTAAAGGCTTCACTAGGGTAATTAGGTTAACTAGGCAGGTTAGGGTAATTAGGCAAGTCATTGTATAACAGTGGTTTGTTTTGTAGACTATCGGGGGAAAAAAAATAGCTTAAAGGGGCTAATAATTGTGTCTCTAAAATGGTGTTTATTTTCAAGCCAAAATAAAACAAATAAGACTTTCTCCAGAAGAAAAAACATTGTCAGACATACTGTGAAAATGTCCTTGCTCTGTTAAACATCATTTGGGAAATATAAAAAAGAAAAGAAAGGAAAATTCAAAGAGGGCGAATAATTCTGACTTCAACTATATATATATATATATATATCAGAGCTCAACAATAAGGACTGCCCGGTGGCCTGGGGCCAGCATGCGAGGCGCTCAGCACAGTAGGCAGGATTGTTACTGGCCCAATTCGAGGTGCCTAGTCACAAAAGTTCAATTTGTCTGCGACTATTTGTCAATTGCATATGAATACAGTCTTAGAATGGAGAAACAGTTTGTGCTTTTAAGCCTTTGAATGCTCCCTTGTCAGTGATGTTGTAAACACTATATTACTCTCCGGTTCCTTCTATCTGATTGGATGTTGTGAGCATGTCGTTTCTTTGTAACCTGGTAAAAACCAGTACAGCGAAATTAATTATATTAGACATTTACATGGGTACATTGCAACCATTTGCTCATTATACATTTATTAGCATTTTAAAATATTTAAATTCTAGATTTAAAACACATTTTTGACACAATATTAAAAACATGTGGCTAAGAAATGGCTTTTAACTTAACTTTTTTTTGTGTGTGTGAAAATAATGGCAGGGCAAGTAAAAATCTGAACCTCTGGCCCAATCGGGCCAGTAGAAACAAATCCTCATCGCTGAACCCTGTGTATATATCAATCATCAAAATACGTCTATATGCAAGTGTAAAATATGGCAAAGGCTTTTCCTATGATTCATTATGGAGAGACAGCAGTAATGTACGTATATACCTGAAACCCTGCAGATTAGTAGATCAACTAGTTTTTTGAAGACCATTTAAGGTGTGTTTGCCTGTGCATAAGTCACAGACAGCTACACACAACTGCTTTTGTTACAAAAGGAAAAAATTAGGCATTTGTTAACATCTTAAACATGCAGACTTTTAAAAACAGGTCCATGCGGTGTACAGACACAACCAACACTTTTGTTTAGTTCTGGTTTTTGTGTGTTCGTCAATGAAATACAGTAGGGCTGTACAATATTAAAAAAAAATCTGACATTGCAATAATTTATATTTCTGTGATACCTATACATTAGCTGGCCACTTTATTAGGTACAACCTACTAGTACCGTGTTGTTCCCCTTTCACCTTCAGAACTGCTTTAATCCTTGGTGTTGTAGATTCAACAAGCTACTGGAAATATTCCTCAGAGATTTTGCCCCATATTGTCATGATAGCATCACACAGTTGCTGCAGATTTGTTGGCTGCACATCCATGATGCCAATCTCCCGTTCCACCACATCCCAAAGCTGCTCTATTGGATTGAGCTCTGGTGACTGTGGAGGCCATTTGAGTACAGTGAACTCATTGTCATGTTCACCAGTCTGAGATGATTGAGCTTTATGACATGCTGCGTTATCCTGCTGGAAGTAGCCATCAGAAGATGGAGACACTGTGCTCATAAAGGGATGGACATGGTCAGCAGCAATACTCAGGTAGGCTGTGGCGTTGATGCTCAATTGGTACTAATGGACCCAAAGAAAATCTCCCCCACACCATTACACCACCACCACCAGCCTGAACCGCTGATACAAGGCAGGATGATCCATGCTTTCATGTTGTTGAGGCCAGATTGTGAGTCGAGCATCCGAATGTGTCAGCAGAAATGGAGACTCATCAGAGCAGCAACGTTTCTCCAATCTTCTATTGTCCAGTTTTGGTGAGTCTGTGTGAATTGTAGCCTCAGTTTCCTGTTCTTAGCTGACAGGAGCGGCACCCGGTGTGCTCTTCTGCTGCTGTAACCCATCCGCCTCAAGGTTGGCCGTGTTGTGTGTTCAGAGATGCTCTTCTGCAGAGCTCGGTTGTAACGAGTGCTTATTTGAGTTACTGTTGCCTTTCTATCAGCTGGAACCAGTCTGGCCATTTGAGAGGGGTCTGGCTGCAGACTCGGTGCAGTGCAATCTGAGCTGCATTCAATGCTTTTTAATGGGCTCACCTAACCCCACCCCTAACCCTACCCGTCACAGTGACGTCACTCACTCCATTAAGTGCATTGTGTCTGACATTGCATCACTAAGTGATGCAGTTTCAGCCTGCATCATAAAGGCTGCATCCAGATACTATTGGGCCATTCTCCTCTGACCTCTGGCCTCAACAACAAGGCATTTGTGCCCACAGAACTGCCGCTCACTGGATATTTCCTTTTTGTCGGAGCATTCTCTGTAAAGCCTAGAGATGGTTGTGCGTGAAAATCCCAGTAGATCAGCAGTTTCTGAAATACTCAGAGCAGCCCGTCTGGCAGCAACAACCATGCCACGTTCAGAGTCTCTCAAATCCCCTTTCTTCCCCATTCTGATGCTCACTCTGAACTGCAGCAGATCCTCTTGACCATGTCTACATGCCTACATGCATTAAGTTGCTGCCATGTGATTGGCTGATTAGAAATGTGCATTAACCAGCAGTTGGACAGGTGTACCTAATAAAGTGGCCAGTGAGTGCGTATGTATATGCTGATAAGTAAAAGGGAGGGGGGGGGTTATGGTCGGTAGTGGGGAGGTTGTGGTCGTGGGCCCCTAATAATATCTTTGTGGTGCCCCAAAATGCGTGGGCCCTTAGAATCCTCCTAACGTTTTACAAGCACAGATAAACACAATGCAGCAAAGATAAAAGTGAATTAGGGTTTTCTGGAGAGTCTAACTGCACTTGTGGAGTCAAAATTGAGTGAGTTTTTAAATAAAACGATCACAATAACCTGCCAACGGTGTGAGTTACCTCATTGTCATATTATATTGCTTGTTTTAAGTGAAAACTCATTATTTCTGAAAACAGAACAGTATTTTTGCTCGTTTTGAAGATGCTTCATGATTTAAGAATGATCAGATCAGGCAGAAACTCTAAGTATGAAAAGCATTTTTGCAGCGTAACCTTTATTTATAAGTGCAATATAATTTTTTTGCAGTTTTTAATTTGATTTAATTGACAACGACAGCCTCGATGAGCAGAGGAGTGTGTTTGTGTGTAGTGTGTGGCGTGGTGATGGACCTGTTGGAGGTGGCCAGAGTTCCTCTGAGCTTCATGTCCATTGACGTATCTGAAAAATCCATATCGAAGATCTCCAGGGCAGAGCTGGTGTTGAAGGAGGCGTCTAACTGCTGCGCTGCGGTGCCTGCAGACACCACATGGAGAAGATTATTAGCCTTTTCCACAGTCAAAGTCAAGTGCTTTGAAATGAGCATCTTATTATTTGATGTTTGACGTAATCTCAACTAACTCATGAAGAGAGGGCGGGACACAATGTAGCCCCTCCCCTTTAAAAAAGACAGCCAATAGCATTTTGTTTTAATCACAGCTCTGCCAGTGAGAGTAGTGGGCGAGCATCCTCTATACCTGAATGCATTGTACAGGTGATCTCCAGAACAAACACCAAACAGTTGGGTATCTCACACACACGCACGCACGCACGCACGCACGCACGCACGCACGCACGCACGCACGCACGCACGCACGCACGCACGCACGCACGCACGCACGCACACACACACACACACACACACACACACACACACACACAATCTTGGCCAGGTAGGCCAAGTGTTACACTTACACACACACCCAAGGCAGGTAGGTTGTGTGTTACACACACATACAATCATACATACACACACATACACACACACTCTCTCTTAACTTACACACACATACAATCACACACACACTCTCTCTCTTTCCTAACTTACACACACATACAATCTCACTCACACACACACACACACACACACACTCACACACACACTCTTACCTAAGGCCAGGTAGGCCAAGTGTTACATTTACACACACACCTAAGGCAGGTAGGTTGGGTGTTACACACACATACAATCATACATACATACATACATACATACATACACACACACACACACACAATCTCTCTCTCTCTCTCTCTCTCTCTCTCTCTCTCTCTCTCTCTCTCTCAACTTACACACACATACAATCACACACACCTAAGGCAGGTAGGTTGGGTCTTACACACACATACAATCATACATACATACATACATACATACATACATACAAACATATACACACACACACTCTCTCTCTTAACTTACACACACATAAAATCACACACACACACACACACACACACACACACTCTTACCTAAGGCCAGGTAGGCCAAGTGTTACACTTGCACACACACCTAAGGCAGGTAGGTTGGGTGTTACACACACATACAATCATACATACATACACACATACACACACACTCTCTCTTAACTTACACACACATACAATCACACACACACTCTCTCTCTTTCCTAACTTACACACACATACAATCTCACTCACACACACACACACACACACACACACACACACACACACACACTCTTACCTAAGGCCAGGTAGGCCAAGTGTTACACTTGCACACACACCTAAGGCAGGTAGGTTGGGTGTTACACACACATACAATCATACATACATACATACATACACACACACACTCTTAACTTACACACACATACATACAATCACACACACACACACACACACACACACACACACACACACACACACACACACACACACACACACACTCTTACCTAAGGCCAGGTAGGCCAAGTGTCACACTTAAACACACACCTAAGGCGGGTAGGTTGGGTGTTACACAAACATACAATCATACAACACACACACACACACACTCTTACCTAAGGCCAGGTAGGCCGGGTGTTGTCTGGCAGGACTCCACGCCTGTGTGGCCGTCCTGAGGATCTCCTTCACCCTCATCTTCCTCACCTGAAGACAGAAGAGCAGCACAAGGAGCTGTCAACCCTCACTGCACACTTCAAATCAAATTACCTGAATCACGACTTTACCAGGTAACTGAACTAGCACAATCCCGTCACAGAAATCACAAAATCTGAACTGAAACACACCCTGTAATGTCACCCAGACTGCAGCAATCTGTATTCTTAATAGTAAACAATAATCCTAATGAACTGAGTGTGTAATAAACAGCGTGCAGTTCATATAGAGTTTAAGTGTATATTGATAATCTCGTTTGTTTATTCCTCATCAGCTGCTGTTAGCGTTAGCATTAACCTGCTGCTCACTGTCTGCGCTTCAAAAACACACCAACACACGGAGAAGAGAACAGTAGCACATACAATAAAACATTATAACATCGTGTTTATCATTAAAAACAAGAATTAAAGTGTGAAATGTACACTTACGGGGTTGTGTGACTGCTAGTCTCGTCTGTGTGTTGAGGAGAGTTCGGCGGCGCTCCTCGCGTCACTCATGGGGAATGTAGTCCACGGCGGAATTGTAGTGCAGTACGGAAGCCGGCGATGGCCAGAATTCACGCGATAATGATTTAAATTTTTTTTTTTTGAGACATAATAATGACCAGATACTTAAAAATCTGTTACCACTCTCCTTTTTATGCCTACTGTTGTACACAAAATCATATATTTTGAAAAATGTTGAATCTCTGCACTGTGGATTTCCATAGTATTTGTTTTTCCTACTATGGAAGTCAATGATCGTGGCTTTATACTTTCTTATTTTGTGTTTAACAGAACTTCTTAAGGCTTGGAACCACTTAAGGGTGTGTAAATAGTAAGTGAATGTTCATTTTTGAGAGAAATATGGCTTTGAAAGTTTGCTAAACGCTCTCAACTTTGGATTAATGGTAAATTTGCTGAATAAATACTACATTTTAAGATTTTAAATATTTTATCCCCAAGTCCTATTTTATCAAAGCCAAACACTATTGACATACACCCATACTGATTAAAATAATATCAGTAAAATGTGTTTTAATCATAAACAAAGGATTAACTTTCTTAAGCTTTCCATTGTATCCACATATCAATATTTGGGAATCAGTCTGGACTCTCACCTCACTGATTGTAACCATGTTCAAAATGTTTATAAAAAGCTGAAACAAAAGCTGTTTGTTTATGGCAAAATTAGGACAAATTTGTCTTTTTCTGTTTCAGAAACTTATCTGCATGCCATAATCTTGTCTACCTTGTTTTACTGTCTGCCTATTCGGTCTCTCACAACAAATGATATCTTGGAGCCAATAGTTAGACTGTACAATCGGGCCTATAAGATCCACAACAGACTTTCTGGATGGACACATCACTGTTTTGCTCTATCACTTTCTAAAGCTTTAACATTTCAAAACTACATCAAGAACACAGGTATCAAACTGTACTATCAAGTTTTGAATAGCTCCACCTCAGCAGCCCTTTGTGCATTGGTACCAAAACTCAACACAAGGACTGATCGTTCCACCAGATCTGCAACAAATGGATGTTTGCCAGTACCGGCTTTTAAACACTGTTATGGACAGAGATCTTTCTTTTATGTTTTCACAAGAGCCTGAAATGAGATACCACAACATCTCAAAACAATACCAACACTGAGACTTTAAAAATCCCATGCTCGTCATCTGATGGTCACCTATCGCTGTAGCCACTGAGATAGTAGCCTGCTTTTCTCTATTTTATATGTTTGGTGATTGTTTGTACTGTGTTGATGGATGAGACGTCTGTCTGTTTTTATGTTCTGCACAGCAGGAGCCTGCTGAAAAACAGCATTCATGCTGAGTCAGGCCCGATTATCTTTTAATCTTTTCCTGTTTAAAAATTATAAATAAATAAATGTAATATTTATTTTAGTTAAAATTTTAATAGTTTTATTTATTTGTCAGTTTTACTATTTTTTATTGTTTTTTTTTAAATTTTATATCAATAAAACATTTGTAAGTTTTATTTTTGAACTTAACGTGTGTGTGTGTGTGTGTGTGTGCGTACACCTTTAACATACACATTTAAAAACTAAAAGTTACAAAACAAATGACTGAACATTTTTATAAAATCATATCTGAGCAGTGTTAAATAAAAAAAAAATTCTGACAGCGGCCAACACGGTGTCACAGCATGAAGGTCACTGGTTCGAGTCCCGGCTGGGTCAGTTGGTGTTTCTGTGTGGAGTTTGCATGTTCTCCCCCATGTTGGCGTGGGTTTCCTCTGGTTTCCCCCCAGAGTCCAAACACATGCACTATAGGGGAATTGATTAACTAAAGTGTGTGTGAATGAGTGTGTATGGGTGTTTCCCAGTACTGGGTTGCAGCTGGAAGAGCATCCGCTGTGTAAAACAAATGCAGGAATAGTTGGCGGTTCGTTCCACTGTGGCGACTCCTGATGAATAAACGACTAAGCAAAAGGAAAATGAACCAATGACATTCTGTCATCTCATTTTAATAAAACATGAAAGTGAATAAATAAATGACAAAGTCAAGAGGTGACAATCAAATGTGATTTATTAGAGAGACAGAAATATACACAAGTTATAGAAGAGCGAGGTTTGCAGCACTAGATCTCGTAGTTTTTGACAGGCTCAGGCTCTTTCTCTGGATCTCCTCCTCTCTCCAGATACAGGTTGTTGTAGGGATACTGTTTGGCTGCCTGGAAAAAACAAATCAAAACACATTAATTCCTAAAGAATAACACCACATTCAGAACGCTTGTGGATAACACAGAACCGAGTGTTGTTGATGCAGCAATTAATAACGCTTTACCTTATAGGGTGTTCATAAGACTATCATTAAACCTTTATAATCATGACATGACACATGAATGAGATCTTATGCATGCTTATAACACCTGTTATTAAGTTTGATTTGCTCAGTCAGGACATTTTAAAAGTGTTTATGACAACAAATACACCACAAACTGTCCTTGTCTTAATCATGACAACTTGAGATTACCAACACAACAAATCTCATCATAAATCCGTCATAAGCATGATTGTAAACTAAGCATTTTGGCTATTACGCAGCACACTGTACTCACCACGGGTTGGTAGGAGGGTAAAACCTCCCCCATCCCAAACATGAACATGGTGAGACCCAGAAACCCAAACAGCCACAGTCTCATGGTGCGCCAGTCCAGGGGTGTGGGAGACGTGTCCACCCGGTTCCTGATGTACATGTCGAAGTGATAATGCATCTACAACACAAACAACAAACACAGCAAAACAATGACTGATGCATTCACACAAGAGCAATATAAACCATGCAGTCATGTCGTTTCTTTATTTTAATTATACAAAAGACGAACAAATAACAACACTGAGGAGTCACATTCAATCTTTTAGTTTGATTAATGATAAATATTCTCTCCAGAAAGCACATTTTTAATATTAATATCTCCTAAAAAGCATTATCTAATATAATTTAGCAAAACACATACTATTAAAGTATGTTTGATCATCAAAATATTCCTACAGAAAGTCTCAATTAGGTTTTTCTGCCCCTTTAAATAAATACAAGTGTGTAATGCCGAGTTCAGACTGCATGATTTTCAAAGTAGTCGTGTCTCAGATGTGTTCACACTGCATGACTATCTGCGCTGGCGTTTCATCGCTGCTTTGTTTACACTGCAAGATGGATCGGCGACAGGGACTTTCACATTGCATGACTTTACTATAGGGAGAATCGCCGTCAACTTCGTCCAAACTACGTCTCACAGCCAAAAACACGTCGTATATCTTTTGTTCTTAACTACATAATGACAAAGACGCCTTTAATGGGGTAGAACATGTACATGTCTGCTCACCTGGGTTTAAAGGGAATTAGTCATTTCTCCTCAACGTTGATAATAAACTAATGTCTTTCTGTATGAAACGTCAAACAGACACGGTTGCTCCTGAGTCCTGTCAAACCTCCACTAGTTTTTCCTCCATTTCGTGGGTCCAAATAAACCGAAAAAGAGCGCTTTTACCTTCTCCACCAGCCTCCCGCTGACCTGCAGCAGGTATACACACACACGCACACACACACACAAGTGAATGCTGCTCTCTCATTGGCTGTAGGCGATCGCTGATGTTATTTTCAGTCAGAACTCAATTCACATTTGCTGTTGATTATCATATATTAATGACTGACAGACAGTTATATATTAATATATACGCAGTATAATTGATTAAAGTTTTGCTGAAGTATAGATCAAATGCATTATAATCATCGGGCTATTAGAGCTGTGTGTGATGTATACTGGTCGTTTAGGAGCTGTAGATTAAATCTGATCTAAAACATTGGCTTTAAAAGCTCTTGAGTCCATCCCTGGGATGCTTTTGCCCACAGAGGCTGTCTGTGTGTGAACTGATCATTCCACGGAGAATTAAAGCAACTGAAAGACAATTCCTTGTGAACAGGAAGAAAATAATTTGCCATTTTAGCCTGTAGGAAAACCGCATGCTGCTTTAAACCTTATATGCTGCTGGTTTGCTCTGCTTTCGAAGGCATGCAATTGAACTGAAAAGCAGCATGGAAATGTGTGCATGTCAAAACGTGGAATGTGCACAGTCATGCAAAGCAGCTCAGCGAACACAATACTGAATGCACATGTGCACTGACAGCTCGTGTGTGAATGCAGAAAGCAAAAACCTGATGTAAACTAATGTGCATAATGATCATGTCACTGGAAACAATGTTCATTTGAAGAACGTCCACACTCACTACATTACTCCCTAAATGCAAGCATCCATCTCTGGAGTTATATTAGTGTTAGAAGAATTAGTATAGGAAATGTCATAAGTTACATGCTCAAGCAAATATGCTGGCGAGAATGTTTTGTTCATAGCAGGTTAAACTAAATCTCTGTATATCAAGAACATATTGCAGTTGTTGATACAGTTGAAGTCAGAATTATTCATCTCCTTTGAATTTTTTTTTTCTATTTTAAATATTTCCCAAATGATGTTTAACAGAGCAAGGAAATGTTCACAGTATGTCTGATAATATTTTTTCTTCTGGAGAAAGTCTTATTTGTTTTATTTGGGCTAGAATAAAAGCAGTTATTAATTTTTTAAACCCCATTTTAAGGTCAATATTATTAGCCCCTTTAAGCTATTTTTTCCCCAGAGTTTACAAAACAAACCACTGTTATACAATAACTTGCCTAATTACCCTAGTGAAGCCTTTAAATGTCTCTTTAAGCTGTATAGAAGTGTCTTGAAGAATATCTAGTCTAATATTATTTACTGTCATCATGACAAAGAGAAAATAAATCAGTGATTAGAGATTGTTCATTGGGAGTTTCCCAATGATGGGTTGCAGCTGGAAGGGCATCCGCTGTGTAAAACATATGCTGGATAAGTTGGCAGTTCATTCCACTGTGTAGACCCGAGATTAATAAAGGGACTAAGTCGAAAAGAAAATCAATGAGTTTTATCAAATTAAAATTCTTCGGGTCCCAAGCCACCAATTTTAATAACTGATATGCATGCATATTGTGATTGTTTGCATTTTGAGTTAGATTAGATTCAACTACTTTCATTGCATGTTACAGTACAAAGCAATAAAATGCATTTTATAATTACTAGTATATAAACGAGTGGAAAAAATGCTGATATATGGATATTTTAACATCAGCTATTCCTAAATAAATTATGATTTATTAGGGATCAAATCATGAAATGACAGGATTAAACCTGAATATGTGTGTATTGTATATGTGTAATAATATTTGTTCTTCTGGAGAAAGTCTTATTAGTTTTACTTCGGCTAGAATAAACACAGTTTTTTATTGTTTTAAAGTCATGTTAAGGTCAATATTATTCACCCCTTCAGCAATTTTAGTGTTGGATTGGAGTGAGTGTCTCTAGAACAAACCACCAGGGGCGCCTCCACGGCCACCCCTCGGTAAACTCTGGCCACCCCTTTGGCCACCCCAATATAATTTTGCGGTTGACATTATTGATTTAAATGAACTCATAAATTCCCAATATTTAGATAAATAAATAAATAAAATGCAGTCACTAAATTATTGTTGGTGTTACTGAAGTAGCTCTCCCCTCTGGTTCAATGCTGGTGAAAGCAAACTGACGCATGCGCGCGGAAAACCATTCCCGCGCGCCTCACGCACTCCTGTGTGAATCCCGGTTGGTTGTTTGCATGCACGCCGACATAATAGGCACCGCTCATGCGCCGTGAAACCGGAGTAACAGCCTTTTGTGCAGAGGTGTCGGCTCGCAGCGAGTTTTGAAAGTCGACTAAACTTTATATAATATGATGATGACGATGATGTTACTTTCACTAAGCATGCCTTTAAAGCAGAAAGGAGGGATAATGAGTCAGGGAGGTAAGACTTCATAACATGATTTCTCAGCCATGATCTGGTCTAAGACCACAGATAATTCTATAATACATTTTTTGTATTCTTTAGAATTGTCATAATTAATTTTCATGCAAAAGGTTTCTTAAGTGATGTTGGCATATCACTCCAGTTGTTGTTTTCCAGTAATATTTAGGACTGATTTCTGTTATTTATTTAGAATAATAATTGTATATTAATATTAATTGTATTTATTTAGAATAAATCTAAATAAATTGTTATATTTATTGAATAACAAATCTAACAATTCAAGAGAGGTGGGGGTGTATAGGGTGGTTCGCCCAGGGTGTCATTTAAACTAGAACCACCACTACCCTCCCCGATCGTCCTTGACAGCACGCACACACCTTCAATAGACAGCAATGGCTATTTAATATTTACCTTAAGCTACAGTATATCAATAGAAGAAGCTGCACTAATAAAATGGTTCAAAAAGCAATATGGATAAAATAATATTATTAGGTATAGTGAGTGTGTATAGTAATCCCTTTTGTTCAGTTTGTTCATTTGTTTGGGTGATTAATAAACTCATTATTCTTTCATTCATTTTCTTATCGGCTTAGTCCCTTTATTAATCCAGTGTCACCACAGCAGAATGAACCGCCAACTTATCTAGCACATTTTTACATAGCGGATGCCCTTCCAGCTGCAACCCATCTCTGGGAATAATAAACTCATTAATCTTCATTAATTTTAGACATGGCATATACTGTATGATGTACAATAAAGGCACGTAAAATGAAAACGACTGTATAAGAAGAATGTAATAATTGTATGTGATGCCTCTGGTGATCTGTTTGTTCCGTTATGTTAAAACGAATAAAAAACAAAAGTTTAAAAAAAAAAAAGGCACGTAAAAAAAGAAGTTATTTATACAGTATATGAAAAGTGTTTTTAAAATAAACATAGATTTTTATTTGGTTTGCACATGTACTTGCTGAATTATTACAAAGAATAAATTGCAATATTTCAAGTAATATTAATTAAATGAATAAAAACTACATTATTTCATTTACCAGAAACAAAAATATATCATTACACTGAATTCATTATTTTTTTGTGTGCCACCCCAAGATTTGGTGCAGCCTCTTCTGGCCACCCCTAAGAAAATTTTCTGGGGGCGCCACTGCAAACCACTGTTATACAATGCAGGGTTCAACACTAAGGATTTTTTCTACTGGTCCGATCGGGCAAGTGTTTCAGATTTTTACTTGCCCTGCCAAAATTTTCACTGACTCCACCAAAAAAAAAAAAAGGGAAATTAATAGCTATGTTTTAGCCGCATATTTTACATAATGTGTCAAAAATAAATATGATGTATTTGATGATAATAAATATGTGTCTGCGAATCTAGAATTTCAATACTTAAAAAATTGTTAATAAAAGTGTTTTGCAAACAAAAAGAGCAGTATAGGAAATGTGGAGGTATTTTATTGCGGTTCGAAATTACTTAACAAAAGGTGGGTGACTTGTCAAACTGACAGCAAACTTTGCAAAACATCACTTAATTTTTTTTGTTACGATGTTCACACGTAAATGTCTGCTTCCAAGACGTTAGAAACAGACATTTTCTTTTAGCCTTATAATTTGATGTTGCTGCCATGTTGCTGTTTGATTGTTCGCTGTACTGGTTGATACCAGGTTACTGAAAAAAATAGCATGCTCAAAACATCAAATCAGAGAAGAGGAACCAGAAAGCAATATGGTGTTTACAACATCACAGAGAAGGTAGTGTTTAAAGACTTAAAAGCACAAACTTAAAATGCACGCAATTGACAAATAGTCGCAGACAAATTAAATGTTAGTGACAAGTCAGCACTGTCCCAATCAGGCCAGTAATGATCCTTTCTACTGTCCCAATCGTCTCTCACTCTGGCCCTGGGCAACCGGGCAGTCCTTATTGTTGAGCCCTGCAATGACTTGCCTAATTACCCTAACTTTACCCTAATTACCCTAGTGAAGCCTTTACATGTCACTTTAAGCTGAACACTAGTGTCTTGAAGAATATCTAGTCTAATATTATGTGCTGTCATCATGATGAAGACAAAATAAATCAGCTAATAGAAATTAGAAACTTATATATAAAAATGTGTTGAAATAAATCTGTTAAACAGAAATTGGGGAAAAAATATAAAAGAATTTAAAATTAACAGGAGGTTGAGTAATTCATTCAATTCATGCATATATTTTTATATAAGTTACTTGCATGCACCATGAACTCCCCAATAGGATAAATAAAGAGTCTGAACTGATCTATTAAACTGCACTTCTCACCGGTTCTCCCCAGTTTCTCCTGAGATCTGGATGGTCCCACTGATAATAGGGGTCTCTCTCGTGCTGTGATCGGCTGGGCAGCATGGGGTAATCGCCACTCCTGCAGCACAATGGTTAAAGAAATCAGCACACGTTCAGCTTTCTGGAAACACTTTATTCATAATCATAACTCACCCCCAGCCATCATCAGGATAGGGCTGATAATCCTCAGGCCTCATGTTGTATTTCTTGGCCGCTGCTGCTTTCTCCTCTGCGGTTTTGGGGTACGGACCGGGCAGACTGTCCTTAGAAGAACCAGAAGCTGCAACAAAACACACACACACATTATTATTATTATTATTTATAACAAACACACAAATACCAGATTACACATGATTCCTATAGAATACAACCATGAATACAAAGAAATTAAGCCTGTCACCGTCATAAATGAATCATGTTGTCGTAATTAAGCATTAATGTAGGTTTTTGTTTATGTCATGCAAAATATAAAGCTATTCCTTAAAGTTTCATACACATATAAGAACAAAGGACAAAGTTCTGCTTGATTTAAATGAGACTGAAAGAAAAAACACTTCTTTCTCTCTATATATTATATATTATTAAATTATTCTTACAGAATTAGAGGAATTAACGAGCTCGTTCAAAACTAAGTGTAAATAAACTATAGTAAACACTAATGGGTTTCACAGAATTAATCATTGTAATTAAGTGTTAGATAATTAATCTTCGGCATAGGATTCATGATCGTGACAGGCTTAATAGAAAACTGCACACCTTTAATAATGCGACTGTAACAAAAAGCAATTTCTTACAAGAAAACAGTAATAACTGCTCGCAGTTAAGCGCTAATTACATTTGTTTACACACTGCTTAAACCGACAGTGGGCTAGTTTAGCGTGTTAGCTCACTGGCCTTGACGTGAAGGTTATCGTTCGTTTTATCCTGCATAACACTGTATATAGCGCATATTTAACGTATGAGTGAGAAAGACATGCATGAAACAGCACCTGCTCTCGCTCCGCGGATAATAGCAGAGATTGAAGAAGATTTTCCTTTAGTAAGAGCTGGGGTCAGGAGACCCGCTCTGAATGCCGCCATCTTGGCTCACTGACACCTCCGAGTGCACATGCGCACATTTTGCGGCTGCTATTGGAAGCAGTGGAGTGACACGCCCATATACTGCAAATAAAGTAGAACACTCCTGATGTGACTCAAATTATTACAAAAACACACATTTATTGCTTTTATTGCATTAAACACGGCATTATTGAGAATTTAAAATCATTAATATTATTATTAAACGAAACACGGTAATATTGTTGTTGTTATATACAATATGAAGATTTAATATATATGTATAATGTGTTATACATAAGCATTTGCTTGTTTGTTCATTTATTTAGCATAAAATATGTATTTCTTTATCTGACATCTGAATCTTGATCTTCTTTAAGAGCTACACTACTTGACTTATTCCACACGATGGCGATAATCTGTTAAAATCGTTGGGTTAAAAATACCCCAAGATGTAACCCAACTATAGGTTATTATAGCACCTTCCCAACTATGGATTATTTTAACCCAATGCATTGGGTTATTTTGATTATATGTTATTTTTTCAATTCTGGTATTAGTGTTGCTACTATTACTAATGGTACTATTAATTTTATAATTATGACTGTGTAAATAAATAACATAGAGTTTACAAAAATATTGAAAATACATAATTTACATTACATTTTAAATTCCAGACACTTTTGTTAAAATAAATCAAGAATCACAAACAATGAAGAAACAAAGCTAAGCGCAGACCGTAATAAACTGAGCAAGCAGAAAGTCCTGTGTTGGTGGAGCAGAATATGAAGCTCTGTGTGCTGTAGAGGCCGTCCAGCAGCTGCAGCCGGCTTCACTCAGTGTCCATAGTGTACAATACAGTTTAACCACATCTAAATGCTTCTAAAAGATGGTCTTGGATGGTGAAACGGATATAAAAAAAACTCATTTGGAAAATTATATTTGATAAAAAAAAAAAAAACATTATTGCGTTAGACCTTAAACAAACTTTAAAACACAAAAACAACATTAGCATGCATAAATACAGCTGTTCTGTGTCAGTTAAATCAGTTGACTGTTGAAGTTCAAATATTTAACCCAACTAGTTTGAGATATTAATAAATAACCTGACAAAGGTTAAAAACAACCCAACAAAGCAACAAATATTTAACCCAACTGGTTGAGATATTAATAAATAACCTGACAAAGGTTAAAAACAACCCAACAAAGCAACAAATATTTAACCCAACTGGTTGAGATATTAATAAATAACCAAATAAAGGTTTAAAAATAACCCAACAAAGCAACAAATATTTAACCCAACTGGTTGAGATATTAATAAATAACCAAATAAAGGTTAAAAATAACCCAACAAAGCAACAAATATTTAACCCAACTGGTTGAGATATTAATAAATAACCTGACAAAGGTTAAAAATAACCCAACAAAGCACCAAATATTTAACCCAACTGGTTGAGATATTAATAAATAACCAAATAAAGGTTTAAAAATAACCCAACAAAGCAACAAATATTTAACCCAACTGGTTGAGATATTAATAAATAACCAAATAAAGGTTTAAAAATAACCCAACAAAGCAACAAATATTTAACCCAACTGGTTGAGATATTAATAAATAACCAAATAAAGGTTAAAATAACCCAACAAAGCAACAAATATTTAACCCAAATGGTTGAGATATTAATAAATAACCAAATAAAGGTTTAAAAATAACCCAACAAAGCAACAAATATTTAACCCAACTGGTTGAGATATTAATAAATAACCTGACAAAGGTTAAAAATAACCCAACAAAGCAACAAATATTTAACCCAACCACTGGGTTAAATAAACAACTCATTGTTTTTTAGAATGTATTGTTGAAATAAATATTTATTTTATAGTTAATATAATACCCACGCCATTAAGGGGAGAACATGCAAACTCCACAGAAACACCAACTGACCCAGCCAGGACTCGAACCAGTGACCTTCTTGCTGTGAGGGCACAGTGCTAACCACTGAGCCACCGTACCACCCAGGGCAGCTCAGTGGCGCATTGGGTAGCGCTCTCGCCTCACAGCAAGTAGGTCGCAGGTTCAAGCCTTGGCTGGGCCAGTTGGCATTTCTGTGTGAGTTTTGAGTTTGCATGTTCTCCTGTGTTCACGTGGGTTTCCTCCAGGTGCTCCGGTTTCCCCCACAATCTAAAGATATGCAGTGTAGGGGCACTGGGTAAGCTAAATTGTCAGTAGTGAATGGAAGTGTATGGGTGTTCTTGATAAAAAATTAAATCTATTAAAATATTTTTAAGTGTTTACACAATATATATATATATATGTGTGTGTGTGTGTGTGTGTGTGTGTGTGTGTGTCTGCTTTTGCAAATGGTGTTAAATAATAAAAAAAAAATACTATAAATCAAATAGTGTGGATAAATATGGTGTCAAGATTATTATCATTCATTCATTCATTTTCCTTCAGTTTAGTCCCTTTATTCATCAGGGGGCGCCACAGAGGAATGAACCATCAACTATTCCAGCATTTGTTTTACACAGAGGATGTCCTTTCAGCTGCAACACTGGGAAACACCTGAATCCACGCCAACATGGGGAGAACATGCAAACTCCACACAGAAACACCAACTCGAACCAGTGACCTTCTAGCTGTGAAGAAACAGGGAAAACCATTAAGCCACCGTGTCGCCAATATTATTATTATTTAACTTTTGTAGGCGACGCAGTGGTGCAGTAGGTAGTGCTGTCACCTCACAGCAAGAAGGTCAAGAGTTCAAGCCTCGACTGAGTAAGTTGCTGTTTCTGTGTGGAGTTTGCATGTTCTCCATGTTTCCTCCGGGTGCTCCGGTTTCCTCCGCAGTCCAAACACATGCGGTACAGGTGAATTGGGTAGGCTAAATTGTCCGTGGTGTATGAGTGTGTGTGTGTGGATTTTTCTCAGAGATGGGTTGCAGCTGGAAGGGCATCCGCTGCGTAAAAACTTGCTGGATAAGTTGGCGGTTCATTCCGCTGTGGCGACCTCGGATTAATAAAGGGACTAAGCCGACAAGAGAATGAATGAATGAATGATTTAATTTTTGTTTTCTAGGATAAAAATTATTTCTTTATTTTATTATTAATTGTTGCAAAACTGTACACCACATAACAGGGATGAATCAACATCGCAAGGCACATTTACCATTAAAATAAATTAAATAAATAAAAATGTTCCCTTCAAATAATAATAACAATTATAAAATATTAAAATTAATTAATAATAATAATAAAAACAGAGACAAGGAGCAGTACAAAAGGTATACATTAAATAAAAAAAACCATTCACAAGAATGAATACTACATTTATCCATTAATAAATCATATTTGTGAAAGAAAATATATTCTAGGGGGACTGAAATCATCTTTAATCAAAGTCAAGTGAAGCTTATTTAATTCAGGTGCTCAATTGTTATAATTGTTTATCTGTATAGTGTGTAAATCTGCTTTAAACGTCTTCCCTCATATTAATTATTTTACTTGAAGGCATTAAATATCACACAATAGCACACATCCTCACGCCCTTCCAGAATGTCACGCAAAAGTAGAACTGCATTTCCCAGAATTCCCCGCTCTCGCGTCACCTGCGCTCAGCGGAGCATCCCGAGTGTCGAGCGCCGAGCAGAAGCGCAAACACCGATTTCTGCCGTGTTCGGTAGCTGTCGGTGATGGTCGCACACCGGAGAGCAGGCGTTCACGATGCGGAACGGAACGGAATATCTCCGGTGAGTGAGGAGTGTCCGCTGCTTTTTCATCCGTCCGGAATCGCGCACAAACTGCAGCAAGATGAAGAAGCAATTCAACCGAATGCGGCAACTGGCCAACCAGACGGTGGGCAGGTAAGAGAAAACACCTTTATCTTTATATTTATCTCTCTCTATCGATGATAATGATGATGAATATTATAGCAAAGCAGAAATAACGCCGCGAACTGCCCTCAGGCGACGTGTCATTGACGTCTGCGCCGCTTCACCTCACATATTTACATATGCAGATATGCAAATGAGATGCTGAAATCGACAGCGGTAGATTTGCGCGGTTTGTGGGAGCGGATGCTGAGTGTGTCTGCTTGATTAAATCAGATGTTGTTGTTGTTGTTGTGGTTTTGTGATAATGTGATGGAGACTGGTCCTGATGTGGGCCTCTGGAGCATCCTTCACCTGTCCTGACCCCAAACACACACACACACACACACACACACACACACACACACACACACACACACACACCTATTAATGATTGAGCTACAGTTGGTTGTATATCCGCATATTGTTTCATTTTTGAATATACTTTGAATATTGGTTCTGGATTCACTTGTGAGAGTGAGTTCTGCACAACATTTACCCTGTTTAATTGACTGTGAGCAATGCTGCACTGATAGTCATCAGCTGCTGATTTGATTTCCTTATTCAGAATTTGTAAACAATACTTTTCTGAAATTATACTATTAAGGAGGGTCTTCACGGTGGTGCAGTGGGTAGCACGATCACCTTAAAGCAAGAAGGTCACTGGTTCGAGCCTCGGCTGGGTCAGTTGGTGTTTCTGTGTGGAGTTTGCATGTTCTCCCCGTGTTGGTGTGGGTTTCCTCCGGGTGCTCCGGTTTCCTCCACAGTCCAAACACATGCGCTATAGGGGAATCAACTACATTGTGCGTAGTGTTTGTGTGAGAATGAGTGTGTATGAGTGTTTCCCAGTGATGGGTTACAGCTGGAAGGGCATCCGCTGTGTAAAACATATGCTGGAATAGTTGGCGGTTCATTCCGCTGTGGCAACCCCTGATTAATAAAGGGACTAAGCTGAAAATAAAATGAATGAATGAATATCATTAAGGAGCAAGTCTGAATGTGTGAATATAAAACTTTAGCTCAAGGTGTCGAGGTTATTTGTGGGTGTGTCAGGACTCAGGTGCTTAATTGTTGTCATTTCTGTCTTTAGTTTTGAACCTGCTTTAAATGATTTTTTTCACATTAATTATTTTACTTAAAGTTTAAGTAGTTTGGTAATTACTCATTTATCTGTTGTTCATTGTCATTCGTGTTTTTAAATGTTTCCATATAGTTTTAATAATATATGGGTTTTGTAGTTAAACTTAAGCTAAATGAAAATAAGAGATATGGCAGTTATACAGGGTAGAATAGATTCAATTTTAACTATACATATATATATATATATATCTTATATGAAACTTTTCATATATATATATATATATATATATATATATATATATATATATATATATATATATATATATATATATATATATATATATGAAAAGTTTAGATGCAAAAACCTCTAAAAGCTATTGGATATTTTCTTCTAAAATGAGCATTTTTCTCTGATTCTTTTATGTAGGCTCAGTGATTTTACTTTTTATAGTGACGATTAAGTTCTTTTCATTGCCTTTCAAATGAAATAACTGAACATAATCATAGGAGGCTGAGAAAAATGCTAATTTTGTATGTAAATATATCTATCTATCTATCTATCTATCTATCTATCTATCTATATATATATATATATATATATATACATACACACACACACACACACACACACACACACACACACACACACATACAGTGCTCAGCATATATAAGATCACCCCTCACAAATCTCTCTTTTAAATGAATATTTTTAATAGGAAGCTCTTATTCAAGAAAAGGTAATGATTCGCACTCAATTGCTTCGTACTGTTTTTATTTTTTATTTTTCTTATATTTTACGGGTGATTAAAAGATATATGGACACATAATAAATATGGAGCTTATCTAACAAAATAACTTACGATAGTGGTCCAAACACTAGTGCAGCCACATTTATACGTTATAGAAAAATTTTAAATACAAATTTATAAAAGAGGAAAAAAATATATATTATTTGCAATTTTGTAGGTTGTAATTTATTTTTGCAATATTTAGCTTGAATTTAATTGTATTATTTTTCAGTTTCTCAATATGTTTGGTGACGAAAATATAATTTTAATAAATATATCTGTTTAATAAATCTGTTTTGTTTTAATGCTCCACTGAGAAATGGAGAATCATATTAATTTTCTAAATGGGCTGTACTCAGTTATGCTGAGCACCGTACATGTTGAAAAATATTGAAAAACTATTTATTATATAAATTAATTAATTAGTTTATTAAATTAATGTTGCATTATGAGTTGTTTTGAGTTTTAAAGTTTTTACATTTCATATTGGAAAAAATACATACAGGGATTAATAATGTAAATGTTTCCCAGAGATGGGTTGCGGCTGGAAGGGCATCCGCTGTGTAAAAACGTGCTGGATAAGTTGATGGTTCATTCCGCTGTGGCGACCCCGGATTAATAAAGGGACTAAGCCGACAAGAAAATGAATGAATGAATAAAAATGTAAATAAGCAATATGAATAATAAATCTTAACAGTTGATTTTGATTAAAAAAAAAATATATATATATATATAATAACTCCAAATTTTGATAAATATGTCAGGTTAGAACATTCAATTAAATGAGTGTAACACAATCACAGAAAAGAGCGTATGTAAGCACCACAAAACAAGTTATAAATAAGAGCGATAATATTAAGCATCATAGTTGTTTATGAATTCGGAGCAGATGATATGTTTGCTGGTTGCTATAGTAACATTATGATGATGTCATTAATAGAAGGTGAAGATTCCCTGGAGATCAATGACTGATGGCTGAGATGAGAAACACCTGTCTTAAAGGGACAGTACACGCAAAAATGATAATTACTCATCATTTACTGACCCTCAAGTGCTTCCAAACTAGGGCTGCATGATATTGGAAAAATATGACATGGTGATATTTAGTTTTTCTGCAATATAGTTTGGGATATGAACATCATTTCACCTGATAGCTCTGGAAAGAAGAATTCATTAATTTAGTCCGATTTGGGATCATTCTGGGTATAAATCATTCATAAAATATAATGAACAATTTAAAAGCATACATAAATACAATAAAGCAAAGAAGAAAAAAATACATTTATGGTTTTCTTTATTGTGTGGAGCCAAACAGTTTTCAAGTAGAGTAATAGAATAATCACATGTAAAAACACTGTAAAATCTTCACCCTAAATAGTTAAACAAATAAATCTTTAATAAACGTACAAAAAGGTACATTTTCTTGTGCCTGAATGCAAAGTCACAGGTTTTCAAAACACATGCATGATAAACGTTTATTATGGTGAAACTCTTTAATTAACTAAATTATGGCTCTTTGCTCAAATATAATCCCACTATCTGAACTCAACACTGCATATCCTGCGATGTGACTATTGCAGACACGCACATTGCAATACCAATGCTGAAGCCATATATTGTGCAGCCCTATTCTGAACTGTCATTAGTTTGATTTTCTCTGTTGAGCACAAAAGAAGATATTTTGAAGAATGTTGAAAAAAAAGCACCATGGAAACATTATAACACTGTTGAATTATTAAAAGGGGACGCCACAGCAGAATGAACTGCCTACTTCTATCATAAAAAATGGAATAAATAAATAAATAGACTGATGTTTTGTTAAGGTGTCACAGTGGTGCAGTGGGTAGCATGATCACCGCACAGCAAGAAGGTCGCTGATTCAAGTCCCGGTTGGGTCAATTGGCGTTTCTGTGTGGAGTTTGGATGTTCTCCCCGTGTTGGCATGGGTTTCCTCCGAGTGCTCTGGTTTCTTAGTCTCTTAGTAATCAGGGGTCGCCACAGCGGAATGAACCACCAACGTATCCAGCATATGTTTTAGACAGCGGATGTGTTTGGACTGTGGGTTAAACTGGGGCACCCGGAGAAAACCCACGCCAACACGGGGAGAACATGCAAACTCCACACAGAAACACCAACTGACCCAGCCAGGACTCAAACCAGAGACCTTCTTGCTGTGAGGCCACGGTGCTAACCACTGAGCCACTGTTCTGCCAAATATTCCTATGTCAATTTTTCCAATATTGTGCAACCCGATATGGGTGGTCGTGCTTTTCCATACAGTGCATCTAAGCTATGGAATGGCCTAGCCGTTTCTCTGGACTGGACTTCTCAAGACTCACCTTTTTGCCGTTGCTTTTAACTCAGATTGATTATTTTTGTTAATTTAATCATCCAGTTGTACTGAATCGCTCATATTTTATTGCTTTATTGTGGTCTTTTTCTACAGTTTTTGTTGTTCTGCCTTGTATCGCTCTGAGAAAGCGCACTATGAATAAAATGTATTATTATTATTAACACAGTAAGTCAAGGCACGTGAAGTAAGAAAGTCAATAGAGTGAGTTCTGATGTCACTGCTTTTGTTGCATGAATGAATGTGTTGCTGCAGATGGATTAAAAAGCGCAGCGGGAGAATAATAGCCGTGTCCATTAAAAATGCAAGTCATTGTGTTCAAAGCAGTGACGGATCAATATGGCGAGGGATTATGAGGCGTCTGACGGTGTATTTGTGCTCTAATGCGTGTTGAGTGACAGCTCGGTTACGCCTCCTGCACGGAAACTCCTGAAAGAAAATCCTGCTCATGACAAACACAACTTTCACAGATTCTGCAGCTCTGAGATATCATTTATGTTTAATAACTAGTAACGAGAACAGATGAAAATTAACATGTTTTTCTATTTCTTGGTGTATATAGGTGATGTAATTTGGTGCATTTGAACAAAAGAGATTTAGTAAACAGATCTATTTATTAAAACAATATTTTAGTCACCAAACATCTTTTGAAGGCGAAGCAGTGGCGCAGTAGGTAGTGCTGTCGCCTCACAGCAAGAAGGTCACTGGTTCGAGCCTCGGCTCAGTTGGCGTTTCTGTGTGGAGTTTGCATGTTCTCCCTGCATTTGCATGGGTTT